CTATTCCATTTTTTTTTTTTCAAATTTGGCAGGTTTGTTTGTGATAACGAAGCGTATCTTTTGACTGTAATATGACTTGCTTAATGTAAAAAAAAATATCGAAGGTTTTAAAAAATAGTGATGTGCCATTTTTTTTCTACTTTTACCAAAAAACCCTGTATATTTTTTTATTTTCTGACCACCCTGTACATGCTATTTCAAGTTTCAATAGTTTAATAGTATTTTTTCAAGCAGCAGAAACTTTTATAAGGAATAACTTTTTTTCGTAAAATTGATAATAAAAAAGTTTCCCATATGCTGCGCACTGAATTGGTAATTATTAAAAAGTTGTTTTTCTGCGATTGACAAGAAATGTCAGCATTTTTGACTGGTTGACAGGTCGCAAAACTCAATATTCTGGTATTTCAATTATGTTTCAATAGTTGCTAAGGAATTAATGAATAAAAATACAGGAATCACTTTTCCGGCCTAGGCCGGGAAAGTGATTCTCGTATTGCTGAATAATTGGAACTAAAAGACAAACATTAAACAGGTATTTAACCGATCGCAGAAAAAATAGTATGTGTATTTCGGTGGAAAAGCACATTCTCGGCCTTCGGTGTTTGCCGGCCTCGGCTACGCCTCGCCCGTCAAATTACTCCGTCGGCCGAGAATGTGTCACTTTTCCACCTAAATACACAATATACTATTTCACAAGCTTTCAAAACTTCAAAGTCTTTTGACTTATTTATCAAGGTAATACAAAATTAGGAAATTTTGATTTTTTCTCTCCTAAATTCCAATCTCCAAAATTTCTATTCAATCTCTAATTTCCTTCAAGAAAAAGGTTCTCAAATGGAAATTTGATATTTTTCAAAATGATATGGACCAAGATATGTGTAGTAAAAGACCTTCAGAATTAAGGACTATTCACACTCATCAGTTCCGTATCAGTGCTGCGGCAGTTCAGTATCAGTCCCTCATCAATGGTGACAATTCACACATATCCGTCTGTAGTCCATACCATGCTTTCAGTGAAAATAAATGTCAGAATTCAGAAATCAAACGCAAATTCCAACCGATTTCCGTCAGTGAAATACACAAAATATCGTTGCCGACTTTAATAAAAAACACTGAACTGACACTGATGCAGCACTGATGGTAATAAACGTCACTGCACCGGACTTGTGTAAACAGGTTCATTTGAGACTAGGCAACGATATTTTATTTTTCACTGCCACTGATACTTAACTGAAACGGCACTGATATGGAACTGATGTGTGTGAATAGTCCTTTAGGGCTTTAAATTGAGCTAAAATTCAGTACAGATTATTCTGGATTATTCTGACAATAACTGACCATAGAATAAGGTTTAAGTGGGGATCAGTAGGTTTCATTATAGAGCTGGAGGATTTTCATTGTGAGAGTGAGATTGTTCAGAATTTTGGGGAAGGAAACGATTAGAATCATTTATAGGGAATGAAGATGATAAACGTTCTGAACTGACTGATGTAAGGTTTTCTTTAGTTTATTCATTAAAATCTTGTCGCATCATTTTGATCTTGATCTTTCAGAGCTGGCAGTGTCACATCTTCCCTTGGTGTTAAATGAAAAATTGATACAGTTATTTCTCTTCCACTTGATAGGCGTACATGAGCATAATCTGAATTTGCTTCCAGAAGATCAACTTCCTCCATAAGTGGATCATATTTGCTATGTCTAAGATGTTTCTTGAGAAAAACTGGTCCTGGGGTGCTCAACCATGTAAGCATTGCGAGGTTCCATTAGTTGATCTTCTAGGATGGTTGAACATGCGTGCATGAGTCATTTTTTTAAATTTCTTCTAAGGTTATAATAGCAGATTGCTTGGAACTTTAATGGGAAGCTTTTTTTTCTCTCTAGGAAAACAGAACTCTCTGAGTGGGTCTCGGTGTAGGTATATCAGGCACAATTTCATTATTGCTCGAATTCTATCTATACCATTATATGTACTTTCTTGTAATATTCATGAATTTTTGTAAGTTTTTGTCATGTTTTTTCTTTTGTTTTTCCACAAATTGTAACGATATCCAAAAATGCATATGTATCGGATAGTCTTTCATTATGTATGATATTATTAATTATACATTGAAAGCAGGCTACTCCCATTTGTAACGCCAAATGGAATTCTTGTGAATTGATACAAGTTGTTACATGCCAGTATAAATTTGCTTGCTTTCCAAAATAGGCATTGATGGTACGCACTACATAAGTCTATGGAACTAAAATATTCACATCTTGAAACTTGACTGATGATTTTATCAATATAGGGTAGTAAATATGCATCTAATAAAGTGAACTTGTTGATTGTCAACGAATAATCAACAATAATACGTGCTTTTCACTAAAACTTGTGCTCTCCATGGTGAAATACTTGGTTCAATGATGTTTTCTTTCAATATTCTTTGTATTTCTTTTTCTGTAATAGCAATAGGCTGTCAATTTTTTGTTAAATTTGCAAAACAGCGGATGAGGTCGAATATTTGCAGTTACTAGATTACAGATAGAAAGTTTTGATTGATTTCCGCCAAAACTGAATTCTACTTCTTAATGATTTTGAAAAATATCATGTCCAATTATAACATTAGAACAAAGATTTTCTAAGACATAGGTACATCCTGATATTTTTGTAAGTAGGTACACATGATCTGATATTTTTATAATCACAATACAGTATCCACAAACGCAGGGGAATTTAAAGATGAAGCATTGATTTTGACATTTAGATTTGTAGGAAACTCTTTGATTTATCTTTGTGTGGTGATAGGTTTTGAAATATAATTATTGTCTGAGCTTCCATTATCAATTAATGCATCAGTTGGAATATGATTGACTTCAATTTTCATAATAGGCTTTTGATAAACAAGATGTTGAGGTAGCTGACATTGCAATCATGGCAGCTGAAATTTTATTTGAATCATGAGATTGTTTTGATCTACATACTTGTGTAGAATGATCCATCTTTCCACAGAAATGACAGATTAGATCTCTCGAGAGATCTCTCTCTTAATTGTATCAAAATTTGTAAGTACTGGTCTAGATTCACTAACTTGCTGTTTTCTAGTGGATAAAGTATGACGGGCAAAAATTTCACTTTGTGTTTTCACATACATATATAATATTTTCGAGCATGGCAACTGCTTTTATGTAGGAAATACATCACTAATAGACTGATAAACTGAAGAACTCACATATTTTACTAAAAAGTTTAAAGTGTTCTTGTTTTCTGAAATTTCCGCAGCTTCTAAAGAGTTCTTGAACATTCGTTTCCAATGGATCTATAACTAGCTAGTGTTTGTTGCTTGAATGTGTATCAATTTCTAATCGATCTGGCTTGAGTAATTTGCCCATTGATTAATTTAGCTTATTAAATTGTAGTAAAAGACCTTCAGAATTAAGACTTTAATAAGCTTCAGTACAGATTGGTAATAGGTAAATAAATAGGAAACACAGTAAACAATGTAATGGGATATAGAACAATATGGCCACACAAAAACTAAAATAAACCAACTAATGGAATTTTGTTGTTCAAATTCTTATATTGTACACTTTTTCTCACAAACAGAATTGTTTGCTTCTGAATAATTGTTATTGGTTTAGTTTAATAATAAGAATAAGAATTTTTGAAATATTTACTTATAAAAAGACCTGAACCTTATCTTGGCCCTACCCTTCAAATTTTATATTTTTAAAATTTTTTAGCTTTCCCTTTTCCATAATCCTGAATATGCAGACAGAAAAAAATCAATATCTTTGCCCTTGTGTCCATATGAATTTACTTAGCCTTGATTATATAAGGGCGTGTTTTAGTAGTTTATTACCATAAAGAAGCTAATTTCATGGATATTATATTTTACTCTAGACATTAACACCCTTTTGCTGTTCATTAACTTTAAATGATTAAGTAAATTTGAAATAATTTGCCTGAAAAAAAGTCTAGACATAATTGAAGAAATTGAATTTTTAGTTTTTCGCTGGTGTAATAAGTACCTGGAAATTTATATCTCAGGAAATCCAGAGAAAAAATCTGTATTGGGAACTATTAAGATCTAAAAATCAGAAAAGATTCAATGAATATCACATTATCATTTTTCAAAACCTCTGAAAATTACCATGTTGTTAAGATACACAATCAAAAGGCATAAATAAATATTAATGTCTACACATTCGATTCGCAAAATGTTACACTTTCTTACTGATGTTGTAAGGTAAGTAATTTGAAATTTAGTTAGAATTATCTGAAACCGTTTCGTTTACCTACTCAAATTACAGTTCTCACACTGAGATTTTCACTCGTCCATAACGGCATGATATTACAAACTTTTCGAGCGAAAGTTGGATGCTATAATTATCAACGGAAATAATAATGTTTCACTAACGCTAACGAGGTTTAAAAATTTCATATGACACTATTATACATTTTGAAAACTAATTAATTTGCAGAAAATAAGAAATACTTTTTAAACAATTGATAATGAAGAAGTCAACAACCTATGAACCTCAAGTTTCCCCATTTAACATTATACGATATGTACCAGCTACAAGCAATGTATCGTGTAAATAAATCTTGGTATTGTTTCATTGTTTTCACAGTAATAATATAATATTGTATAACAAAGTGAAATTGAAGAAAAAAAACTTGTTGTTAATATTATCATCTTAAAAATATGTAAGTCGCAATATTTTATTTATATCAACCACGCCATCAGAAAGTCATTTTTGTTACGAAAGCAATCACACTAATAATTAGGTAAATAGTTGAAGAAATAATTGATTGTAAAATTCATCTACAACATAAGTTACATCTCCAAAAACAAAAACGCTGGTATGTTAAATTCCATTCAAAAAAAATTATATATATTATTTACTGGTTTCCTTATGCATAAAAATGAGTCACAGGTGGGCGAAGAGGCTTGCCCTACAAGGAACACTTTAACGTAAAAGCGCTTTAGCAAGGTCGTAGACAGTTTTTGCACTGAACATTAATCCTCTTTTTGACTACTTCTACGAGTTTTTCTCTTAATCCTGGGCAATATCACTTGAACACGTGAATGAGCATTATACCAATTCCGCCAAGCATCGACTTGCTTCTGCAGCGTCAATATTAACCAAGAAGAGTAGGATAAGTCGATGGCTGCCATGCCGAAAAGTGCTAAAAATACAACCACAGGTGACGAAAAAGTTCCTACTGTTGTAGAAGCAATTGTATTCCTAGTTAAAGTTTCGCATGTCAGCATGAACATGTAAGTTAAAGCTATTGCCGATGGAGTAAACACAGTAAACCCAATTAAATCAAAAATTATCTCCTTTAAGCTATTAGGGTCTCTCAAAAACTCTAAAACAGACCTAGGAATACTATATTTGGGCTCCCTAATAATTTTATAGTGATGTCGACACAATTCACAATTACTATGGTTGGATTCTTTGAGCCATCTTTCTAAGCATTGCAAGTGTACTAAGCCTATAGTACCTCTACATCTGCAAGTTGTTAAAAGATCAGCCGTACTATCTCCTCCATGACAAATGCGACAAATATATTCCCAAGACAATTGCGATTCTGAATGTAAAAGAGTTGCATATAAAACATTGCAATCTATGTTTAGATTATTTGCGTGTGCTTTGCTTCTTACTGATACCATTGGGCAATAGGCGATATCGATTTTTTTAAACAGCGCAGATGAATTTGAAGCACTTATTTCTGATTCACTATCGCTATCCAATAATTCACTAGCAGACGAGCAATTGCTTTTAGAAAACAATCCAACTTCTGAATTGATTTTAATACAATCGTTGCTTAAATTAATATAAGTTCCATAATCATTTTCAGCTTTTGGCATCAATTCTAAACTTTTCATCAAAGCTTTTTGTGTAAAAATGCATATTCTGGAATTAGCTGGATGGGTTTCGTCTAAATGAGGCACGTTTAGCTTGAGCAAACTGGCAGTGGATTCGGTTAAAATAAGCGTCACCAATACTCGTTTCGGTTTTGCCTTTTGGGATTTTTTCATTACTGAGATTTGGATGAAAATATTTAAATGAAATGGAAAATGACGATGAGTGAATGATGCCAGTGTCAAAAGTGAGTTATCGTTTATGTAAAGTACAGTTTACTAACGGAAAAATTTCATGCTGTTGCCCCTATAATAATTCATTTAGCTGTAAATTGATAAAGGTAATAATGCGAAAACTCTTTGTGGAATTATTGGTAATGATTATTTTTGTTTGTTGTTGCTCGAAACGTTTATGGACATTGCTAATTTTTCAGTTTAATTATTGGTTAATTATAAAGTAGTTTTTTGTCTGAATTTTACAGGCAGCTGTTCTAATGAATTATAGAACTGTTACGGATAACTACTTGTTACATAATTTGTATTGACAATAAAAACGATAATTAATCACATTTAGGAAAAATTAAGTCTATTTTGTAGTTTTTTAATGGAATTTTGAGTTAAAAATATGTCTAAATATGATCTGTATGCATTTAGCTCCAAAATGGGTTCTTTTAACGTTAAATCCACACTTTTACACACAAAAAAAGTGAAAAATCTAATGAATAAGTGTCGTTGAAATGAAAATTTACACTCATTTTGGACATTTCCTTTAGTTTAGAGAATTTTAGGTGATTGTTTCGACAGCAATTTCTTAATCAAAAATATTTCTTTGAATGGATTTGTACCCAAACAGCACACAGACATTACAAAAACATCCAAAAAGATGTCCATAAATGACATTCAAAACATCTTTTAGACGTCTGGCTTACGTTTTCAAGGCATGTTAAAGGGGGTGTGCGCCAAAAAAAACAACTTCATCTCAAAAAAAAAGAAAAAAAAAAACTAAGAATAACAGTAAAATCCGCACCCCTCTATGACAAATAATACCGCAGATATGGCTCTATGAAGGTACCGTATCTCACCCTATGACGTCACGAAAGCTCAAGCGACACGAGAAAATGAAGTAAATTGAATTTACGTATGTTTTTCTTGTGTTAGCTGCGATAATCTAAACAAAAACCACTCAGGCGTGCCGGGAACAATCAAATTACCAATGCGGAGCGCGGTTGGACGAAGTTCTCGTGACGTCACGAGAGCGTCATCCACACTAAAGCGGAATATCTCAGCTCAGCGATGGTTTATCGAGACGTCTTCAGTCATTATTACAAAATTGCAACGGAAAATGGAGAAACGTAGGCAATTTCGACTTTTTTTATGGGACACCCTGCAGTGGCGCACCCAGGGGGGGAGGGCATCGGGCCAGGGCCCCCCCCCCAGGCCGCCTCTCCAAAACTTTATTTTTACGTATAAAAAAATGTGGCATATTCAAGGCGTGGCACCCTGACACCTCAATTTTTTCTCAGATTTTCAGTCACAAGCCACAACCTATGTAGCCCCCCCCCCAAACATAATTTCTGGGTTCGCCACTGTTCCTGGAAAAAATTAAAAAATCAGGCCACAATCTGTTTTGTAAAAATATCACTTGAAGTCTCTCTGGGATTAAAAAATCGTAATTCCGCCATCTCTGATTTTTTCCTATTAAATTTTGGTATGTTAAAGCTAAAAAGCTTCCGGATATTTTTAAAAATTCTTCATTTTCCAAAGCTTCCCAGATTTCTAGGAAAAAGATCAAAAATCAGGCCATAGTATGTATTGTAAAAATATCATTTAGTGTCTCTCTGGGATTAAAAAAATCGTGACTCGACTATCTTTGGTTTTTTTCCAATCAAATTTTGGTATGGTAAAGCTAAGTCAAAGTCAAAGTCAAAAATAGCTTTATTGTCTTAAAACAAAATATTGCTGACAAAGCCGTACTAAAATAAAGTCTACAACTAACACTAAAATTAAAAATTAAAACATTACTCAGTTAAAACAGAGAATAAAAGAACAAAAAAAAAGAAAAAACAAGTCTTTACCAACTCATGAAACACAGACAAAAATATAAAATCACGTACAATACGCAACGCAACAATATAGAAAAAAATAATAATAACATTTGCCTTTCTTACATATAAAAGTTGACTCATTACAAAAGAAACGATACCAAACATACATTGCCACTCGCTGTCAAAAACAAAGGTCCAATATTCCTCAACCAGTTACTATCCTTTCATTAAAATATTCTTCGAGACTATAGTATGCTTTATCAATCAAAAAAGCCTTAACCTGTTTCCTAAAACTTTTGTAGCTTCCAAGCTTTCTTATTTCAATTGGAAGATGATTGAAAAGTTTTTTACCTTCCTATATAAATTATTTTTTTACCAGTTGGGAATGAGGTATGGGCAAGCCGAGAAGAAACGACTGACGAGTATTATAGTGTTTGTCCGCCTCCCTCTCAGCCCCGTATTTCCTGAACATCATGCACACCGTTTCCATTATAAACATCGAATAGAGCGTAAGGATAGCATGACTGATAAAAAGAGGGCGACAGGAATCACGAGTCCATACTCTGAATATACAACGGACTGCCCTCTTCTGAAGCAGAAACACTGAATCAAAAAGTGAACGGGTGCAGCAACCCCAAAAGCTTAGGCCATATCGTAGGTGAGATTCCACCAAAGCGTATTATGCATTCTTAGCAAGCGAGACATCCAAACTCCTCGATATCACTCTTAAGGCATAACATCCCGAAGAAACCCTTTTACGGAGATTAGAAATGTGATCGTCAAACTTGAGAGACTTATCAATTGTGAGGCCCAAGAATTTGTTGTGGTTTTGTGGAGTTACAGGATTATCCTCCAGGTAAACACTCTCCAGTTCACATTTGAAGTTTAAAACATTGGTTTTCGAAACATTAAAAGACAATAAATTGGAGTCGCACCAGTCCTTCACCATCCTCAAATCTGCATTTATGTCATTATTGAGTTTTTCCACATCTGAGCCGTGCCACAAAATTGTCGTATTGTCCGCAAAAAGAGTAAACTTTCCTGAAATTGGGAGTTGGGGCAAATCGTTGACATAAATCAGAAAAAGAATGGGTCCCAGCACAGATCCCTGTGGGATTCCAACATTGATGTTCATGATGCGTTCTGAATCACCATCCTGAAATCTTACGGTCTGCGATCTACCCGACAAGTAGGAGCGAAACCACCTCAAAGCACCACCCCGAAAACCTGTTACATGAAGAGTGATGAGATTGCCTATTTGTTGCGTGAGCGATTATTGCAAAAGGGGGAGAAAGAAGAAAAGAAGAAAGAGTTGAAGAAGGGAAAGGGGTGAAAGAATGGAGGGGATGATAAAACTCCTGAAGGTGGCCGAAAGGAAACCAACTTGTAGGGCAGCTCCGACTAGCCAGATTAAAGGTAGAGTGGTCTGGGTCAAAACTAAAAGCGCCACCTGTTTTCAGCCCTAAAGTAAATTGGTTCCTGAATGCGAAAAATAATAAAACAGGAAACAGCCTAGAACATACAAAGTAATTAAATCAACACAGGAAAGCAAGGAGAACAAAAAGCAGGGCATCAATAAGTGAAATCACCTATTAGCATGCGAGGACTCGTCGATTCGCAAATGCAGTCAAAGTCAGCTGTAAAAGGGACAAGAAATGAAAATAATCGAAATCAAATATTCTCTGATATGGTTTATATACTTTCTTCCAAAAATGCAAAGTATATACAATATACCAAAAAAAGGTGCAATATTTATCAGTAAATTATTAAAAATACTACCTATTCTATTGCCTTAAAACCATACTATACCTACCATTTTATTAAAAATTTATAACCTTATTTTAGTCATTAAAGATCTCAAAAATCAATGTACAAATCAATAGTCGTTTACCCTCGAAATAGGCCTATTTTCCCGGTGTACAGTTATCCCGATGTTAAATTAGGCGTAAAGTAGTGTACTTAAAGTGCAGAGTTATACAAGGATGGATAAATCAGGTAATAATTGTAATAGGCAAAAATAAAACAACAAATTTCTTAAAGGTTATTATAGGCCTCTATCCAGCTATGGAATTTGTTAGCCCTTGCTTCGCTGAACAGTGCTACGTCGCGAAACTGACGTAAGTTTATATTTTGGCTACAGAACGTCACTCCTTATCTCAGCTGGAGTGTAACCATATAATTTCAGGACCCAGGACAACACACACAAGTGATCAGACTGACTTACAGATTGAATCCTCAAATACGTGTTGGTTACCAGTCTTACAGAGACCAGGATGACTTCTGACTTGAAGTGAGGTCTGGAAACCTTCAAAATCTTTCTGGTTGGCAGGTAATGGGGAGATTTAGGTCCTCTTGAGTTCTGAGGTGGTTGGTGGGCAATCAGTACTTAAGATTGTCGAAGGAGATGCCAAGCATTCGATGAAGGGTGAAGATAACAGTAGCAGTGTAACACGAAAAGAATAAGAGGAAAAACAAAAAGGCCTGAAACGAAAATATATATATTCACACAGGGTAAGCAAAAGAGAAATAGTAGGAAACGAGAACTTACCAAAATACTTTGGCCTTTTCCAGATACAGCACACAAAGGAAAACGGTTAAGTTTGAGGTTTAAACCCTTAAAATTTGACCAAAAATCTGCCTAGTGGCACTGTGATGCTTTAATCTCAGCAACTCACAAAGGGGATCCAATTAGGGACTCAAAACTTATGGTAAAATCAGCAAAAGCGCTAAGAGAGGAAACTCACAACGTGCTCTTCAAAAAGCTGCCCTCTTTTTACCAAAAAAACCTATCCCTTCCGGAAGCATGGGTGTCCAAATAGGGAATTTTTAAGTGTCACAATTTTAGGTTGGGTACCATGGTACCATCGAGGAAGGGAAAGCAGAAATCTGTAATTGGACCAAAGCAGGGAACTGTTATTATTTATAGTCAAATGTTTAAATAAACAAGCACAATTATTGTTAGGTGGTACTGTGAAAATAAAATCCTGAAAACTGCGTGAGTGTTTATGAACCTTACTGACTCGATTGGTAGATGGAGGTACCTTTATTTTAGGGAGAAAATTAATCCCGTAACAAACCATACCGCTCAAGCTTCCACAGTAGTATCTCGTGATTTACACAGTCAAACGCCTTGGAGAGGTCGTAAAAGACTGCTGAGGCTACCTCTCCACCATTCAACTGCTTATAGGGTAGCTCAAGGAAACTGAAAATGGCATCACCAGTGCCAATCCCCTCTCGAAAACCAAACTGTTGGGCGCTCAGGAGTCCAAGTCCACCGAGAAAGGCTAACATCCTCCTCTTCACAAGTTTTTCTACTATTTTAGCCATAATAGGTAGCAACGTTATTGGACGGAAGTTTGACGGCGAGTCGTGGTCTCCACCCTTATGCAAGGGAATAACCACAGCTTGTTTGAGACACACAGGAAATTCGCCCGACAGAAACGAACTATCTATAGCTCTTGTGAAAGCTCGCAAGGCTCCATCAGGCAAACTAGACACAACTCTCAAAGAAAGATTATCCCAACCCGATGTATTCTTATTTTTAATCTTGTAAATAATTTCCTTAATCTCTTGTACCGATGTTGGGGATAAAAGGAATGTTTCAGCTACCACAATGTGCTTTAGATAGGCCCTAGGATCAAGCGGCTGATGAATACTAGCGGCTAGATTGGATGCAATGTTACAGTAAAAGTGGTTAAGATCATTAGCCTTTAACTTGCTCATGACTCATTTTTTATTATTATTCTTCCCCAATAAGTCACTAACAATCTTCCACGATTCTTTGTATGTGTTGGAGGAATTTTTGATTCTATCCCGGTAATACATGTCTTTAGCCTGTCTTATGGAATTTCGGTAAATTTGGCGATACCTATAAAAATACTGAGTGAAGTCTTGGTTGTTCATGGAATATTTTCTTATATAGTGAAGAGAATGCATATTTTTCCCAGAGATTCGCAATCCTTGGGTATACCAAGGTTTACGTTTTCTTTTTTTTAAATTAACAATTGGAAAGGATGTATTAAAATTGTTATGAACAATAGCGTGGAGCGTTACCAAATGAGTCGTCTGTGGCAAGAACACCATTCTAGTCAGACCGTGCACACAACAGTTTGAACCTTTCAAAGTTCCTTGATGTATACAGCCTACCCCGTCTTATTTTATGCTCAGTGTGTACTCCAAACGGGATACAACAGTGTACAGCCTCATGGTCAGACAACCCAGCATTAGTAGTATTACACGCCACCAAGTCTGCATCAATGTTAGAGCATATATAATCCAGGACAGATGATGACAACGCTGTACGTCTGGTTGGCTGATCGACATGCATACATAAGTTAAAAGAATCCAACAAGTTACACAGCAACTGATTATATCTATTGTCCCTGTCAAAAAAAATTATATTCAAATCACCAGACAAAACTATGTTAGCGTTAAGTGGAATTTCAATCAAAAGAGATTCTAGTTTATCAATGAATGATTGAATATTCCCAGAAGGAGATCTATAAATCCCAAACACATACAAGTTAAAACGACTACAATACACAACAGAACTTCAAAAACTCTCTCTTCTAAAAGATGATCAAATCTCTCAATTGAAGTAAACTCAAACCTGCTGTGAAAGTCATTCTGCATCATAATGAACACTCCACCATGTGCATACTGCTTCCGAGAATAGTTCGACAACAGTGAATAATTCTCAAATCCAAGAGGTTCATCACATCTAAGCCAGTGTTCCACCAAAACAACGATGTCCGGAAAATTCAAAGACTCCAAGAATAACACCAATTCATCAACCTTATTTCTAACAGACTGGATATTATAAGTAATACTAGAGCAAGGCTTCCTTGAGCTGAAGTGGCTCTAAAAAAGGAGGGGTGCTAAAAAGCTTCTGAATATGCAAAAAAAAATCTCATTCTCCAGAATATTCCGAATTTCCAGAACAAAAATTCAAAAATTCAGGCCATAGACTGTAAGGCAAAAATATCACTCAGTCTGTCTTTTGGATTAATTTTTTTTAAACTCTGCTATCTTTAACTTTTTTCCAATCAAATTTTGGTATGTTGAAGCTAGAATAAGGCTTCTGGATATTTGAAAAAAAAAAGTCTTCATTTTCCAAAGTTTCCTAGATTTCCTAGATTTCCTAGAGAAAAATCAAAACTCAGGCTATAATCTGTATTGTAAAAATATCACTTAGTGTCTCTGGGATTAAAAAATCCTAAATCCGCTTTGGTTTTTTTGTCAAATGTCAAATGATAGTTTATGAAAATCTAAGTAAGATTGGTTTTTCTTTAAAATTAACCGTTTAGGTTTTACAGCCTGTTAAAGTTGCAAAAAAGTCAATTTTCAACTGTCAATATTTCCAAAACAGTTGAACTCAGGTATTGAAATTTGGTACCTGAATGTATGGAATTAAAAACCCTGCAAAATGATGTATCACTTGATCCCTCTTCCCATTTTTCTAGGGGGTGGCTCTGGGGGCTGGGAGGTTGAAAGAGGGGGGGTTAATTTTGCATAAAAACTCATACCCCTTCAAATTATAGTCGACGTGTTTCAGGGATTTTTACGAACATTTTTGTACTCTGGGGTGGGAAGTTTTCAAATTGACACCCTGTATATATATTGATTACATTTGGGTGAGCCGTTTTCTGGTGCTTCTGATGGCCATTTGCTCGGCTATGACTTAAGGGATATTCAATTTAAGTGAAGCTTTGAATGTGACTTTTGTTTCTACAAGAGTCACATTCAAAGCTCCACTTGGATTAAGTATCCCTTAAGTTGTAGCGCTGCAAATGGCCATGAAAATGTTCCTGGAGATTCTAGAGTGTTTCAGTGTTTTGGAGCGTCTTGAAAGTACAATTGACTACTTTAGGGTTGCCAGGTTTGAAAATTGAATTCGCAGGATATGTGTTGAGAAAATGCAGGACAGTGATGAAAAAAACAGGACTTTTTTATTTTCCTAAAATAATATTTATAATACCCAAAAATACGTTAAATAATACCTAATAAGGTTATTCAAATTAAATATACGATCTGGGTAGGTACTTACTTATATTAGGTTTGTTCGGACCTAGTTTAGAATCAGTTCTGAATTGAACTGCGCTTGCGCATTTGTTCATATCGGACATAAATAAACAAATGCGCATGCGCCTCAATTCAGAACTGATTCTGAACAAAGTCCGAACAAACCTATTATAACTTGTTTCAAATAACGAAAATAGTGTAACAATCACAAGTTAGCTACAAAAAACTTTTTCATGCCCTTAATGTTCAGCTCCCAAAGTGTGGCGCTTTATCTCTCCATAGCCTCCATAAGCAAATGAAAAAAGTCTCGACCACTGTCGGCAAGGCTAATTTCACAAAATGCTTAACAGATACCTTTGGATCTGACCACCAATTGAAGGTACAAGAATTTCCATCTAGATCTGGCGAATACAAGAGTTTTAGGGTTGAAGCGGATAAAAGATTAGATTAGACAAACTGCTCAATGTCAGCAATTGGCCCATGAATATAGAGATTGGCAAATTTCATTCCTTTCGTCACAGACCACCAGCCACTCATCAGACTAGATTTTTCAGAGGTACGCAGCCTGGGCGGGGTCAAAGGCACTCCTACAACCACAACCCTCAATAGAAACCCACAACCTAAGACCATCTCATCTACTCTTAATTTTTACTACCAAAATATTGGTGGCCTAAGAGCAAAAACACAAGAACTCTTTAGAAATGCTGTTAGCTGTAATTTTGACTTCATAGTCCTCACTCAAACCTGGCTGAATTCCTCTTTCAACAATTCTGAATTATTGCCTCTCCTCTACACAATATTCCGAGCCGATCGGGATTATGCAGCAACCAACATGGATCAAGAAGGGGGAGTCTTCGCTTATACCGACTGCAAACTTTATTGAATTTGAACAAATATGGATCCACTGTATCTGTCACGGCTGTGAGATGGTGATTGGATCAGCATACATCCCTCCAAGTTCATCTCAGGGGAACTTGGAGGGATGACTTACAGGTCATTTATAACAGTATGTGAATCATCAAAAAACAAATATGCAAATGCCAGTTTTATCATATTCGGCGACTTCAATATTCCGAATGTCAACTGGATCACAGAGGATGATTTTCTGGTACCTGAATCTACACACTCCTTGGCCCAGCAAACTCTCATAGATAGTATGTTCTTCATGGAACTTCAGCAACTTAATAATGTGAAGAACAGCTACAATAGATCCCTGGATCTCATTTTCGCAACTGAACTTTCTCTATCTGTGATCAAAACCAGTGACTTTCCACTGTGTAGGGTGGTTTATAAATTTTTTAGGTTTATTTCTTCAGTGTACCATTTAGAAATTTGTTCTGTAGAGTGCACTTAAACATAAATTAATAAAATAAACTTCAAACTTCTGAATTGTTCTAAAAATGATTTGGAAATTGTATATCGGTTTTTGAATGTTTTGGGGCATTCTAATAACAATTCTAAAGTTCTCAAAATGTTCTGAAGTGTTACAGAATGCTGAAAAACAGAAAATACCAACTCATCAAGCAAATTAAGAAATCCCATTAGAATCACATTGGAATTCATTGTGTAAATAATTCAAAAACTTTTCACCTTTTATCAAAAGTGTACAGAGTGGCTTTAAAAAGATCTGGAGCAACTTTCAAATAAGCCAAAGTTACTCTTTATTGATAGGACAGCATTTTTACACTAATTTTGGATTTTTTGTTTTGATATTTCAATAGGAAAATCCAAAAAGAGCCAAATTTTTGACTATTTTGTGGTTTTAACAGCAATTTTGAAACAAAATACCATAGAAAATGTTGTTGAAATGTAATTTCAATGCACAAATTTTGTAGAAAATCATAGAAAATGTAATTGAAATGCAATTTTACATACATCTATGACAAATTTAAAATGTTAATTTGCATGCTAATCCAATTGTTGAATCAACATTAATAATAATCCTCTGTATTTTCCATTCCAGCATCAACAAAATCAACAGTTTAGCCGATTTCCAATTTTGCAAACGATTAGAAGAACTCTACATAAGACAAAACGACATTCGCGACTTAAACGAGCTCGTCTACCTGCAAAATTTGCCCAATCTTAAAAACTTATGGTTGGGCGAGAACCCTTGCTGCAATTTTGAAGGGTAAAAGAATTAACTTTTATAAATACAAAATCTAAATAAAAATTATAATACCAGGTATCGATTGGCAGTAATAAAAACCCTACCGCAACTCCAAAAACTCGACAATCTTGCAATCAGCGAAGATGAATTGAGAGAAGCTCAAAGACGCGGCAAGTAAGTTGTAATTGTTTTGTAAAAACTTCAAATTTGATTTAAACATTTTTTTTTCCTAGGACTCTATGTCATCCTGATGACGCACAAGAAGAAATTTATTCACCTTCTCCACCTCAACAACAGTATAACAGGTATCAGGAAGACTCAGAGCCTGAATATAGAAGCCCACAACATGAGGTATGATTCTATTAAACTAAAATTTTTGTTAACCCTCATTTGTCATTTTTAACAATATTAATTAAGACTGAAGATGACCCAGAAGAAAGTGAAGATCCTTACCCTAGAGATGATGTTTCAGAAGAAAGCAGAGACCATTCTCCTACACAACTGGTAATAATATTAACTTTGTTTTGTCATCTATTTGATGTAGTTTTAAACTAATATTATTAAGAATTTTATTTTTTCTCTAGAGAAGACAAGAACAACGAAGAAGCTACAGCCCAGAAGAACAATACATTGAACGAAGAAGAAACAGCTACGAACGTGAAACTCCTAGACAAGCTTACGAGGTAAGAATTATGTTTAATCATAGGCCTTATTTTAATTCATCAATTAACAGAAATCATCATCAGCTACTAACTCATTAGACGAACATCATTCCAGTGATAGTCAAATTACTTACAGAGAATCAAAAATCGTTACTAGCCAATCTGCTAGTTGTATTAAGGTAATAATTTTATTTATTCATCAATGTATTTATTAATAATTATTTAGGAATATACTAATGGTGACAGATATATTCAGCAGTACAGCAGAAACGAAGGCAACGAAGTTACATCGAATGAAAAAAGGTATTCCTGTCAAGCAGCTACTCATAGACCGCCATTTTCTAGAAGACCGGTTGCAAGAAACTCAAATATTCTCTCTGCGGTTTTATGTTTAGTAAAAGAGCTTGACTATCCAAGTTTGGAAGTGGTCGAAATGGCTGTTAGGTGTCGTATGGACGAGTTAGATGAATGACAAAGAAATTGATGCACAATAACTTATTTTAATCTATGTGAATGTTTTAATATGAATTTACATTTAGAATTTAATAGACTACCATGCAGAGGCTTTATTCAGATCTTTTTACATCGATTTATTGACTCAAAATTATGATTCAAAGAATTTTATATGAAGCCTTTTTTTATAGGTATATATATATATATATATAAAAGAAATAATTCAGAGATTAGTTTCTCAATTATTTGCTGTTTACTATTAAAAGACTGTATAATACCTTTTGTTATTTACTTATTGTTAGATTTAAGTTACTAAACGATTTTAACTGGTTGTGTTTTTTATTATATTAATATTTAAATATTTTTGATTGTAATAATGATTATCAATCCATCCATTTTGGTCATTTGTTCCTTAGAAATCAAAATTAATGATCTTGCTTTAATAAACTTGCCCCAAAATATTTAATTGATGTGCAATGAAAATCTAATTTGTTAAATAAATTAATTTTTTTAGTAAAATTTATTTCAAAACTTGTTTCGATTGAATCCCAAGAATATTTTAGCAAATCGTAAATGGAAAATTATCCTATTGTCAACTACTTAAGTAAATACCACTCTGTACAGGGTGTCCGAATTTGGATGGTTTTAATAGGAAACGTCAATTTCTGAGCGAGATACAAAAAAAATGAACCCCCTACTCCGAGGCTCGAATTTCTTGAAATTTAGATTGGCGCAAACCGCATTTTGATATCTTCAACCGTTTAGCCGCTAGAGGGCGATTCTCGATTTTGAGCAATACTGTGAAATCTTCATAACTTTTTTGTTTATAAAAATAACTGATTTCCGTAAAAACTTCCTAGAAGCACTTTTCAAGCAGAATTCAGTGACGTTCTGTAGTAGGCCTTTTCGATGAGAAACGTCTTGAGAATTTTTCTAAAATGCTTCAAGCCCCGCGCGTTTCTGATCACGACGGGAAGGTGGTTGAATATTTTTCTTCCCTCATAAATAATTGACCTTTGCACCAGTGCGCTTGAGGGAACCGGCAATGGAAGGTCATGAATTTGCCGAGTGATGCGTACACGAACAGGATCACGGTCATTTCTTGGGTTCTTAAAAATAATCGATGCAGTTTCAAGAATGAAGAGACCAGAATAAGAGTAAGAATCTTTTGAGAAATAAAATGGGGTCTGCATGAGTCTCTGTAACCAACATTAACAATGGCACGAACAGCCTTTTTTTGCAGAAGAAAGATAATATTCAGTAGATTCTGGGAAGCCACACCCCAGAATGGAATGCCATAGCGTAGGTGGCTTTCGAAAAGAGCAAAGTAGACTGTCCGCGCTACTAGCAAACCAAGCTCAAATCTAGTAGTTCTTATGGCAAAACATGCCGAGGACAGCTGCTTACTGCTTAATCCCATGATATGGGACTCAAATTTCAAGCCAGAGTCAATATGAACACCCAAAAACCTATTCTCTAATTTGGCCTACAGATCCTCACCCTCCAGCCTCACTTCCCGGACATCACCCCTAAAACAAACAATGCTAGTTTTGGCGACGTTAAAAGAGAGGAGATTTGCACTGCACCAGCTTTTGACCATTGCCAGATCCTCCGATATCCGGTACCTCAATTGATCAGTATCTCTATCGTGCCATACAATAGATGTGTCGTCTGCAAAAAAAGTGAATCTCCCAGTAATGTTAACCAAGGACAGATCATTGACATAGACCAGAAACAACAAAGGACCCAACACCGATCCCTGAGGGACCCCATGACGCACCTCAAGTGCTGAAGACCTGGCGCCGGGAACAACCACAGACTGCCTGCGTCCACCAAGGTATAAGAGGCAAACCATTGAAGAGCCTCGCCCCTGAAGCCGTAACACTCTAGCTTGGCCAGCAGAATTCCGTGTTTGACACAATCGAAAGCCTTCGATAGGTCACAAAATACCGCTGACACCGCCTCTCCCGCATTAATGTGCTGGTACACGTGTTCCAAAAAGGAAAAAATCGCATCATGAGTCCCCTTTGCATTTAGGAAACCAAATTGGTAGGGAGTAATTAAATTGTGTCGTTGAAGATAGCTGAGAACTTTTTTTTTGACAATTTTCTCGAAAACCTTGGAAAGCGCAGGCAGAAGCGATATGGGACGAAAGTTATAAGGATTATCACGGTCACCTCCCTTGTGCAATGGAATAACGACAGCCTCCCTCAAACACGCCGGAAACTGACCACTGCTCCACGAGCTGTTAATGGAGAAGACCAGCGCTTTCAGGGCAGCATCCGGCAAGCGGAGAAGCACTTCGATCGAGATTTCATCGTGCCCACAAGCCCTCCTATTCTTGATGTTGCCCAAAGTATCCCTGACCTCGTTCAAGTCAATAGGAAAAAATGAAAAAGAATCGCGAAGAGAGAAACCATTCAAAAACAAAAGTGGGTCACGAGCAGGACTCAGTTTTTCATGAAGGGTGTCAGCTATGCTGCAGTAGTAGTTGTTTAGACGGTCTGGATCTACCTCGATATCATGAGAGCGTTGCCCGCCGTGCCTGCAACACAGCTCGTTCACAATTGACCAACTCTCCCTCTGTCGGTTTCCCGCCCCTGCGAGCCTCTCAGCGTAGTACGCTGATTTTGCGAATTTAATCACCCTTTTATAAGTTTTCAGGTATGCTTTACAGTAGGCCAGGAAGTTAGGATTATCAGAGAACTTTTTCATGTAGTTAAGAGACCGCACATTTGCAGCTGATATTTTTATGCCCCTTGTAAGCCAAGGCTTGCGTTTCTTACTCTTACATTTGATCCATCTAAGAGGGAAAGCCCTCTCGAAGGCATCCCGGGTGACGGTATAAAATGATGAAAAAGGAACAGGCGACCGCTCAATTCCGAGCCAGTTCACATCCAAGCACAGCTGATAAAATCTCTCGTAATTTGCCGAGAAGAAGATTCTGCCACGACGACGCGTCGGTCGCAAGTTGGCCGAGGCTCTGGGGAACACACCAATCACCGCCTCGTGATCAGAAATACCGGCACTAACTACAGCACACGTAGAGCACATGTAGTCAATTGTCGTAGCTGAGATTCTAGATATGCGGGTAGGTGCGTTGACATGCATATCCAGACTATATGACTTTAACAAGTTGGCCAGTATACAGCATAATAGTGCTTACTGAGTGTTTGTCTTGATAATTAATGTTAAAGTCTCCAGCAAGACTTATGTTAGAAGAGGCTGGTAATTGAGACAAAAGAATGTCAAGGCGCTCAAGAAACTCATCCACTTGAGCCGAAGGCGATCTATAAATACATACAATATAAGTGTTATCTAGTTTGCTATAACAAATTGAAAATTGATAAATGCTCTCTGACAATAAAAAATTAAACTTATCCACATTAACAAAATGATTAAAAAAGTGCGAAGATGACCTAACTAAAATAAGAGTACCACCATGCAATGAATGTTCTCTACAGAACGATGAAACAGAACGTATTCGCTAACACAAAAGCACTCGCCAGGCTTGAGCCAATGTTCCGTAATCAAAATAATATCCGGAAAATTCATGCATTCGAGGAACAAGAAAAGACTGTCGCATTTTCCTCTCAAGGATTGTACATTCAACAGTAACACAGACAATTTACAAAAAATAATATCGTTCCTAATAGGATCTCTTTATGCTTATTTTTACACTTCCCCTCACTGAGGGGGGTAGCTATAAAAAATTATTTTCGCTAGAGTTTGGATAAGCATCAGCGAATGAATGTCTCTGGTTTTCAAAAACAGAGTCATTCACAATGGTATTATTATTACACAATTCATCTTCTTGAATCTCAACAAAAATTAAATTACTATTACACACTACAAATTGACCTATATCCTAATTTGAATCCTTGTGGAGAGTTAGAACTCACAAATGAAATGAAATTACTAGAAACAGAGTTAAATCTTTCAATTATGTTGGCTAATTTCCTATTAAAATGATACGCCCTTAAATTAAGCTTGTAAGGGAATAAATAGGGAATTGAGAGAAAAATAATGTTTGTATGATTACAATTTTTGAGCACCTCAATTATTCCTTTTATAAGAGGAACCAGGACCGCAACTAGAACCCACGGCGCCCAAGGCAAGTCCAAATTTTGGCGCCCCTCCACCGCCTTCTGAAGGTAACAATAGATATATTTTTTGATGGTTTGGCTCTCCATGGGCCAAAAAATGCGCACTGAGTGCATACATAATTGCACTGGATTTCAAATGGAAAATAAAAACTGATAATGTGCAGTCAAATGGAATGAAAATTGCACTGAGTGCACCTCCGTCCTCCGTGCAACAAATGGAAAACGCCATTATTTTATCGCGAACAGTTTTGGAACGAGTTCTCCAGACTGTCCAATTAGACTATCCAAAATGCTGTCAAACTTAAATTAAAATGTCCGCCAAGAGGCACACATTCCTTTGTTTGCTTGTTAAAGTCACATGTTTTGGATATGCTAATAGGTAAACGAACGTTAAATATGTGTCAATCCTAAAGTTCTTGCTAAAATCCCAAGACCGCTAGAACAGAACTGGTTCAGAAACGGTTCCGAACCGATTCTGGTTGATCCGCGAATCCAGAACCGTAATTAAAAGTTCGGAATTTTGTGATCTGCGAACGCCATTACTTGAACTGCGCATGCGAAATGGTTTCGAACCAGTTCAGAATCCTTACCGCAAACGAGGCTATTGTAAAAGTAAAAGCTGTTTACGGAAACTATGATCGGGCTAACCCGACCGCCAGCAGAAGTATATTAGCCGCTTTACAGTATGGGAGTGTGACGCCCGGAGCTACTCGGGGCGTTGAGCCCCCGAGCTGGACGTACGCGTCAACCTATCAGCTGTCACATCTGTGGGTGGCTATTTATCTATTTATTTCTTGTTATATCTCAAGATTGAACATTTTAAAATATATAGTTTTGATTCTCTTTCATTTTTGATAAATAAAAAAACAAACTGCACAAACAAACAAATAATTATTTTTAAAATTTGACATATTTGACACTAAGACAGGCGTCTCACGCCATGATACTGGAACGGTACAAATCTAGTGCGTGGCGCCCCCGAGGTGCTCTGGAGCGCGCCAATGTGCATACTGGAAAGCGGCTATTGCCTTTTTTCAATCGTATTTATTAGGGAAAGATAGAAAACATTCAGCTGCTGATCGGGTTAACCCGATTATAGTTTTCGTAAACGGCTAAATTGAAAAAAGTCAAAAGAGATAATGCATGCAGCATGCAGAGGGCGCCCATGTCGCCCACAGTGCTCTTGCTCAGTTTGGTCGGATCAAAGTTCGACTCGAAGCTAATCTCTGGCTATACTTGAATTTATCACAGACATTGCAAATTTGTTGCTGCCTTTTGCACGCGCACTGTGTTTGACATAATTCATATGATTACTATCGATATTCAAATTTTTGATGGTTGACAAAGAGAGATGTGATGTAACACAAGTAATAATATTACATGCGGAGGTGGAAAGTGTTTCATTATTGTCGAGACATACTACACCCAATTCTCGAGACAATAATGTGAAAACTTTCCACCGAATTATGTATACTATTTTATTTTGAACATTGCACCTGGATACGTGTTTATGTAGGGTGAATGAACAATTTATCAGGGCCGAAAGTGAGTTTTCCAGGCCGAAAGTGACAGGAGAACAGTCACTTTCGGCCTGCTTTAAAGTGAACAAAAGTAAAGTGACATTTTCGAACCTTCAAACCAGTAAGGAATGTGAAAATTACATATATGGTTCAAAATAAAATAAATTTCCGTGCTACGACAAATGACGCGTAAATCCGTTGCATTTTTTTGAATTGTAAAATATGGATGGATTAAATTAGGCACCTTCGGCGCCCCGATACTCCGGCGCCCTGGGCGGGCGCCTAGTTCGCCACCCCCTAGTTGCGGCCCTGAGAGGAACATTGCCATTTAACAAGTCATTTGACCCCGCTGCTATAATAATGAAATCTAAACTAGTAAAATTCTGAGATAAGTCAATTACACTATCAATAAACACCACTGAACTGGGGAACCTGATTTAATAATATGTTCAATTTTGAGTTTTTTGTTGGACACTTTGGATAATTCAGAACGAAGAGGGTTGGCCATGTATCTGCTTTGTTCATCTGACAAAAATAGGATTTTTCTGGTTCCATAGACCTGAGGTGCGGAAGAGTCGGGAGGCACAATTTCAATAGGTGCGTCTTCAACGAAGGTACTTGAATAACATTGGGTTTCCTTATGTGATTTTTCGCGATGTAAACCCGATTGAATGTTGAAGCAATCAAGCTTGCAGGCCTTTAAATCGTTCAGATAATAATCTCTTTCCTTTTCCAGACTGTCAATGCTAGTAAGTAACTCTGAATGTAGTTTCTTTAAATCTTGGAGTTTTTTTAACCATGTCTTCATTTTTGTCCTCAAGGTCCTTGATGTTCTTAATAGCGTCAGAATTTTTGCCTAAAAGGCCCACTATGTTCTTATTAAGTGATAGTATTTCATCACTCTGCTTCTTCATTCTGTATTCCAGTTCTCTCTCCGCCTCAAAAGCACTATCTTCAAAATCTTGGGTGCGCCTTTTTAGTCCAGCGATATATTAATAGCTCACTAGAAAGCTCTACTTTTGCTGATTTCAATGATATAAATTTCGATAGGTTTATCTCGAACAGTTTTCGAGAAAATAGTATAGGTATTGTTTTATTAGGAGTAGAAGCTTTACTTTTTTGTGCTGAAGCGGTAGGTTTGCGAGCCGAACATAGTGAGGCTTGCAATACTGCTGTAGCACAAAAAAGTGCTTCTACTCCGTATGCAACACGCTATTTTTTCTCCAAACGAATGGGGTAAGCTTGGGGGCAAGTGGATGGTTGAGCGGCAGCACAAGTACGAGCGGCACTAAAAGTACTTCTACTGCCGCTCCAGCGGCACTAAAAGTACTTTTGCTGCCGCTGGGGTTGCCAAGCAGCATAGAAATTAAATTTCTACCACCTCGACAGGTGTTAACCCGCTGGATTTGCCTAGCAGCATGGAAATCAAATGTCTGACATCTTGACAGGGGTTAACAAAGTGACGTTTTTCTGACGTTTGGAGAAAATAGTATATTGTTGTATTAGGAGTAGAAGCTTTACTTTTTTGTGCTGAAGCAGTAGAGGTTTGCGAGCCGAACGTAGTGAGGCTTGCAATACTGCTGAAGCACAAAAAAGTGCTTCTACTCCGTATGCAACACACTATTTTTTCCCCAAACGAATGGGGGAAGCTCGGGGGTAACTGCATGGTTGAGCGGCAGTAAAAGTACGAGCGGCACTAAAAGTACTTTTGCTGCCGCTCCAGCGGCTTTTGTCATAAGAAACAATGAGTTAGAAAGAGACCTTTCTCAGTTTCCTTACAGATATAAAGTCCTTTTCTTACACATTGCTTCTTATGATAAAAACCGAAATAATTTTTTTTCTCGAAAACTATTAGAGATGAACCTATCGAACTTTATATCATTTAAATCAGAAAAAGCCGACCTTTTTAATGAGCTATTAATATATAGAGTGTCCTATTGAAAAAACCAGACTTTGGTCAATATCTCGGAGTTGGGACCAACTAGAAAAAAATTGAGAACGTCACTGAATTCTGCTTGAAAAAGTGCTTCTAGAAAGTTTTTACGGAAATCAATAATTTTCATAAACAAAAAAGTTATGATAGTTTCACATTATTGCCCAAAATCGAGAATCGCCCTCTAGCGGCTAAACGGTTAAAGATATCAAAATGCCGTTTGCACCAATCAAAATTTCAAGAAATTTGAGTCTCGGAGTGGGGGGTTCATTTTTTTGTATCTTGCTCAGAAATTGATGTTTCCTATTAAAACCATCCAAATTCGGACACCCTGTACATCAATTTCATTAAGGGGATTAAATGTGCCCTTTAATTAGTACATTAAAATACAAGTTTCATAAGACGTCATTTTATCGCACGAGCCCTATATTAGAAAACGAGCCGGAGGCGAGTTTTCTAAAGGGCGAGTGCGATAAAATGTCTTATGAAACGAATATTTTATACTATTTTTTCTATTTTGGTATTGTTTAATTGAAAAAAACAAACTTTTCTTGGAAATTTTATTCTCATATTTCCTGATTTCATATGTTTAGGTTGGCAACACTACATGCCAAATATAGAAATCTTCTATTATTTTTTATCGCAAATGACAGTTTGATGGCCATAGTCAGCCAGTATTACCAACCTCCGATAAGTAAAAAAGGAGTGTCACAAAGAGCTTCTTTTCGAAACTACCCAGCAAACCAGACACAATCGGCAAACGAGCGGCCGCCACTCGGCACCGTCGGTATACTGGTGGCTACTGTAGGCCGGGCCTGGGCCTTCCAGGGTCCAGTTAGCGCGCACCGAACGCGGGACTCTATCTTTCGGAACGAAAGTGGCTACGTATAGGGAATACCACCGGTAGGAAACCACCTTCTGATTCGAATGCGGTTCGCAGGTGTGTTGCCGGATACGTAGCCACAGCCAGTCTTTCGGACCAGGTTCATTTAGCTAGCGGCCAGACGAATAGGTATACGGTATATACGTTCCAAAAACCTAACGATGATGAGTCTGACGTCACAATAATGTTCCCAAACAAATAAATAATGATGGCAGTTGTAACTTTAACTGATTTTTACAAAATTTGTAAAAATTCCCATAAGAAAACTACTTTAAATTGAATAATTATTGCAGTCTATTTATAATTTCTCTGTGTGATATGTTGCTTGAATAACTACTAAAATAAAAAGGGCAAAAATTAATAGCGAATTCTATTGGTAGAACCAGTGCAGAAAAAATGTATTTTTATCTCTTTCTTATACAAGCTGGTAGAAAAAGACACGAATACACTCAGTGCGCACTAACCCTTCCAATAGAATTCGCTATAAGAATTCTCCAAAAAATAAATACATGAAAAAAAAACCTTCTGGTACAAGACTCGAACCAACAACCAACAACACCGAAAGCGACAGGCCTATCCACTACGCTATCAGAGTTCTTTTTAAAATAATATTCAAATCAAATATATTCGTGTGTTCGTGTATCCATCCCCACTGGATCGGACTTTGACGAAATACCGTTATGAACGACAAGTGAACGACGCGCCACGCGCAAGCGGGTGCCGACTCGTGCCGCCTAGCAACCAAACCAAATTATCACCTAACCTAACATAACAACATAGCCAACGACGCCAACGAGCGTCAACCTCAAGCAAGCAGCAAGCGCGAAGAGAGAAGATTTTGGTTATGTTTTTTCGTTTTCGAGTTTTTCGACTTTATGTGGTTTGTTCTTGAAAAGTGTTTTTTGAAAGTTTGGTGGATTGGAAGTAGGTGTAGTGGGTGTAGTTTTCGTTCTGGTACTTCGTGTGGCGGTTTTATCACACTTTGTTATTGTTTTGGCATGCTGGCATGCAAACAAAATGTCCCAGGACTCCCAGGCCCAAGATCAACAACTGTAAGTATACAAGGTAGTTTTTACTTTTTAATAATTCACATATTTTATACTCAATTTGTTGTTACCAATGGAGTCAGCAGCCGAAAAAAGTAAAAGGCAAAAGCGTCGGTTGATTGCCACTCAAATGCAATGCCTATTAGGCGATTTTTCCCCTATAGAGTGGGCTCCCGAGGAAGGAGAAGGACCTTCAAATTCTTGCTGTTTTGTTTCTCCAAGAAATTTGATTGATGAATCTAATAATTCAAATTTGAGGTGCCATAATTCCCATCATGTACCTGTTCCTAATTCTGAAACGTGCCCTGAGCCTAAATCCAGTTGTTCATTTTCTGAATCCAGTGATCATCATCACTCGCAAGAGCCAATGCCTTCTCTAGAATCTGAGTCTGAGTCTGAATACATATTTAGCACAGATTCTAACTCAGAAACAGAAGAGAATGACTCTTCTGATAGTACTGAGCAAGGTAGTGAGCAGGGTATTGATGAATCAGTACCTCAATTTGTGGAAAATACCAGCAGTAGTTTTTTGAGAGAATGGGCTCTTAGAAATAATTTAACACATAGGTCTATAACCGAATTGCTCCAGTGGTTTTCCACAAATCCGAATGTTAGTAACCTTCCACGAGATGCTCGTACTTTGCTGAAAACACCGAGGCATACTAACTTTATTTCAATGGGTGATGGTTTATTTCATTATTTTGGTTTGAGTGAAGGAATTAAAAAAATTCATAATAAATATGTCAACGATGCAAATATCCTTGAAGATACCCATGAGATCCTATATAACTTAGACTTTAATGTAGATGGTTTGCCAATACAAAAAAGTACTAAGGTATCGTTCTGGCCAATATTGTGCTGTGTATCAAATTATCCCGAAGAATCACCTTTTATTGTGGCAATTTACTCTGGTCCAGGTAAACCTCCTATTAAAGAATTTTTCTCAGATTTTGTAGCAGAGGTTAAGAATATTTATGTAAATAAATTGATTATTGGCAAAACAATTATTAATATACAGTGTAAGTCATTTTGCTGTGACACACCAGCTCGTTCATTCATAAAAGCAACAAAAGCACATAACTCTTATCATGGCTGTGACAAGTGTGTTGTTGAAGGTACGTACATGAATAGACGAATGGTTTTTTTAGACTCTAAAGCTACACTTAGAACTGATTTTGGCTTTATTAATCGTGCATATGGTGATTATCATAAGGATATTAGCCCTTTAATTGAAATAAATATTGGCATGGTATCAGGGTTTCCGGTTGATTACATGCATTCAGTTTGTCTTGGTGTCATGAGAAAGTTGTTGTTTTTGTGGCGGGATGGTAGTAGACTTTTCCGGTTTACACCTGAAAAACTGGAACTTCTAGAAAATAGACTCCATATAGTAAGAAAATTCTGGCCTGTAGAATTTAATAGAAAGCCGAGAACCCTCAAAGATCTTGAAAACTGGAAGGCAACTGAATATAGGCAATTTTTATTATATTTTTCCCCAATTTTGGCTGACATTTTATCACCACAAATTTTTTCCAATTTAATGACCCTAAAATTTGCTATAACAATTTTGCTGGGCAAAGACCTAAACATCCTCTACAATGACTATGCTGATAAACTTCTTCGATTATTTGTGTCGGAAGCAATTCACATTTATGGAAAAGAGTTTGGGATCTACAATGTACATGTTTTAATTCATCTTGCAAAAGATGCGAAAGAATACCATACCCTGAACAATATAAATTGTTTTCGTTTTGAGAACTATCTTGGTTTTCTGAAAAGATCTCTTAGAAAATCAAATCAAAGTTTACAGCAAGTTATTAATAGAATATATGAAGGCCGTACTATTCTCCTAGAGCCTAATAGAAAAGAAATATCTGTTTTAGGAAAACCCAATTATATTGAAAATTCTAAAGTATTTTACCCAAAACTTTCTTATAAGGATTGGACATTTTCAACTAATATTGGAAATAATTGTGCCTTTTTTAAAGATAATCAGGTAATATTTATTGATGGCTTTTTTACTGAGTCCAATGAAATTTATATCCAGGGTAGAAAAATGAATATTTTAAAACCGTTTCTGACTTACCCAACTGAAAGTTCTTTTATATCATTATTTGAGGTACAGCTAGGTAATGATAGAGTTTGCAAATCATGTTCTGATATTATTTCTAAAGCACTATTGTTGCCATATTCGAATAACTATATTTGTCACCCACTAATTCATTTTCTTTAATTTCTTTTATTTTTTCTATGGCTGGGGTTACCCGGTTCTCAATTTTTGTTCTTAATTCTTAATCTTTAAAAACACCAATGTTAAATAAATTGAACTTTTCAAGAATTGAGAATAAGAGACAAATATTAAGAATTAAGAAATTTGGTAACTCCGGCCTAAGTTGAAAATTAAACAATTATACAGGGTGTTACGAATTCGCGAGTAAGTATGGGGATCTCGGTAAGCATAAGAGATCGGTTAAATTGGGGCAAAGTTACCCAATTTCTTGCTCACCAAAATGCCATTTCGAAATTTGGAAAATTCCGAATACTTCCGGAGATATTCAGAAAAAAACGGAATTTTGCAAAATTTTTTTTAAAGATAAAAGTCAAAATGACATTATGTTGCCAATATAATGTAAAATTGTCAATGCTTTCAAATTTTTTTTGTAGAAAAGGCTTGTGTTGCCAACATAGTTACTAAATTTTTGACTTGGGGAATTATCTTTAAGAAAAAAAAAAAAGGATTTACTAACTATTAAGGTCTTTAAAACACACTCAATTTTCAAAGATCAGCTATTTAATTACTCAGATGACAAACGTCTACTTATACCTATGTTGTTATATGCGTTTAATAATTTAAGTTTTAAACGTAAATGGGATGAAAAATAATCAATATATTGTTAGGCTAAGCTAAGATATAGTAGTGCAGCTAATATTATGGTAGTATTAGGCAGTGATTTGTAATTGGAACTATGTATTAACACTGTAAATATTTCTCTGAAGTTATTAAATAAATAAATTAAAATTATTGTAGTGAATATCTAATTGTTGATTTCCCTGAGGAAAGTAAAAATGGGGAAATTAGTATGGCCCTAATATCCAGCACCTGGCTATTTGAAGAACATGGTAATCTATATTGCCATTGGCCCACATACTTGAAGTCCACACTTTCAAGAGAGAGGGTTGTGAAAAACCACACCCCTCTATTACACAATAAATGTGTCAAATGTTTGGTGGTGATAAAGCATAATACTGGTGAGAAAATGATGATTTATTAGTCATAAACACGTCATAAATCCTCACCTCATAGCAAAAGTGTATTAACTCCAAAATATCCAGTTCCATGATTCACACCTAGATTCAAATTTCCCGCTCTATTCAATCTATCTATTACAACGAAGTTATGACTTAAGACGACGGGCATATAGAATGAGTTCAATTAAACTATCTGCAAAGGCTACCAAACAATCCGAAAAAGTTTTTTTTTTTCATTTTCCTGTAAAATTTATGTTTTGCGACTTTCACTTACACTTTTGCTCTGAGATACTAAAAGTAATATTTTACGCTCGTCTGATAAATTCGAGGATAAATTATAACTGCCACAAACTTTTTTTTTCCCAAAACGCACAGTTTTCCTATTTTTAGATGACTATGATAAGGCTTGTTGTAAACTTAAAAAGTTGGAAGAAGAATCTGAGTATTCATCAGCGACAGATATAGATGATGAAGCTCAAGATAAAGCCACCAATTTACCAAAGAAGACCTACAAATCAAACAGACATGCAGATTTTACTTATTCTGAAGGAAGTGATGATGATAATATTCCTATCGCTCCAAGATTTCCCAAGGAAAAAAGCTTAAAGTTATGTATCAATCGAGGTATCAATAATATTCCTCAAAATTTTCTTAAAAGCTCAAAGACATATACCGAGTTAACCCCATTAGTAAGGGTTATAGAACCTGCAGTCAGATTCCAAAATAATAATTGGAGCAGTTCCAGTCAGGATGATCGACTTAGTCAGGATCATCGATCTAGTCAGGATCACCAATTTAGTCAGGATCATCGATCTAGTCAGGATCACCGATTTAGTCAAGATCATCAATCTAGTCAGGATCACCCATTTGGTCAGGATCACCCATTTGGTCAGAATCACCGATCTGGTCAGAATCCTCTCATTAAACCAAAAGAAATTAATGAAATGGGCAGTAAGTGCCATTGCGAAAAAACTTCAAGTACGTTGATAATAATTCACCTACAGGATTTTGTAATATAATAATTTATTTTCTAGAAGCATTGGAACGCTTACTTCGCGACATACAAATTATTAAGTTAGACCTAACCAGCCTATTACAGCAATCAAATAATACCAAATTAACCGAATTTCAGCAACTTGATGCCAACCTCCATTTTCAAGATTATCAGGAACTTCAAGCATTTAATGACCGGCTATTGGAGAAAGATTACTTCATCAAAATGGTAAACCTTTTTCTCATCATGAAATCGCTTAGACTATACAGGGTCCTAACTATTTCATAGGAACAGCGTATTGCTATCTCGGGAACGGTTACAGTTACGAGGGCGTTTAAATTAGAAAAAAGTTGCAATTTTTGAAGAATATTGAAAATATAATGCTTTTGAATTTAAACTATGTCTCTAAAATCAATAGATTTGAAAAATAATATTTTTTGATAAAATTGTTTTTGTTAATTTTGAAAAATCACCCTGTATACGCGAAACTAATAGACATTTGGCATCAACAAAAATATATTCTTAATATTCCTCAAAAATGGCGACTTTTTTCTAATTTAAACGCCCTTGTAACTTTAACCGTTCCCAAGATAGCAATACTGTCCTTATGAAATAATTGGGACCCTGTATAGAATCTTTAAAATCCTTAATATACACTAGTTTTTCAATTAGGCATAAATGCTTAAACTTAAAATTTGTAGTATGAATGAGTTTTTCTCTTTTTTGTCTTAAGCAAGCATCACTTAGTTTACTGGGCGGCAGGGACCTAAACGAGACCACACGAAAAATATTATCGCTTTTGTTAAGCCATGAACTTTCATTAAATGTTAATTGGATAGGAGCCAATGACAAGGGGAGCCTTCAGAAAACAGAAAATGTGTTGAAACTTATTTACGGTAAGCTATTAGAAGTATCAGTAGTTACCTTTAATAGGCATGTTCAATTAGTGAGTTTATCGTTAATCCAAGCACTCTACACAATTTTTTTATACATGGTGGGGCACAAAAAACTAGGTGATTTCCCACACAGGTGATTATACAGTGTGTCCGTAAAGAAATAGATAGATTCATTTGAAATTTAGCTTTTTTTTTTTTTTTGGAATTTTTAAATTGAATGCCCTGTGTACTTGAATGGATATCGATTCATCAAAATATACAGGGCATTCTATTTAAAAAATTGAAGTGTTACGTGATATCTCATCTCTTTTTTGGGTCATCTTGTATAAATACAAATTAGTTTAAAAACAGCGCCAATAAAAATTAAGATCGACGTATCCGAGCGTTTTTCCAAAAAAAAAAAATTGCTTAAACTTCAAATGAGTTTATCCGTTACTTTACAGACACACTGTGTGAATTATATGTATCAGCTAACACCTGAGAGAACCTGGGTGGAATTTTTTTCGTGCCCCACAATGTATACATTGATAATTATTGAATATCTATATCGACTATATCCTATTTGAGGTAACCTTGAACTAGATGTTAATAATTTTCAGGAGCTGTACGAAAAAATCATACAACAGCAAATGCCACAAACTCAGAAATAGACAATGCCATCAAGAATTGGATAAAAAATGCTCCTGATAGAGCAGGAGGAAGGGCTAATCGAAGAAATAAAAATAAAGTGGCAGTTATTGAATAGATATAACTTCATGCTTCATGTTCGATCTTTTTGAGTATTATTATTATCAGGAATTTATGTTATTTTGTATTTTAATGTATACCCATTTTCGTATTCAGCAATGGCGAAACATTGTGTATTTACTCCCATATCAAAATTAATTTATAGATTCTAACGATGTAAACAAGGATCCAGGGTTGGGACTTTGAAACGGATAGATATCGTTATCCCTATCGCTATGGCACTTGTTGTCTATGTCTCTATTCGTTACAGAGTCTCAGCCCCAGTGCTGATAAGCGCGAGCAGCCATAAATGTTCCTGGTATTTTCTATTGTCGCCTTTTTTTGGTTTGGTCGGGAAGTCTCAAATAATGATATACATGTTTTCTCTTTACTTTGGTTTGATAATTATAAAACTATTTTTTATTTAGGCAATAGTTAATATTTGCATATTGATTTTTTTAGGTACATCATTGCAATCTATAAATTACTTAGAATATAATAGCATTGAGTTGAGTATAGTCATAATGAGCCTGTATTAAGAATATTTTTTTATTTTGTGATAATAAAATTGTTATAATAAAATATATACATATGCGCAGTTTGTTTTACTGACTAACCAATATCGTTTGCATAAAATTTACTAACAATGGCATAGGTTTTTTAGAAAAAAAGCAGCTTTGAGACATGAAAGTTGGTAAAAGGTGATAATACAGAGGGGCTGTCAAATAACGTCAATGGATCCTATTGTGGTGGCAAAGCAAAAATGAACAATTTTCAGTAGTATTAACTATTAACCCAAGAACATTGATAATTCTTTGAAAATTTTTTATAACAGATCTCGAGAGCTTGTTTCCTATAAGGTACAAGATTGAGAAATTTGTTATAACATTTTTGAGCATTTATTAATGTTCGAGGGTTATTATTCGGATAGAATTTTTTTTGACAGCAATGTCCGATGCAATGTCATAGAGTAAAAACAGCCTTGGGGGCAGTATAATATTAGGTTTGTTCGGACTTAGTTCAGAATTAGTTCAGAATCAGTTCTGAAGTGAACTGCGCTTGCGCATTTGTTCATATCGAACATATGGAAACAAATGCGCAAGCGCAGTTCAATTCGGAACTGATTCTGAACTAAGTCCGAACAAACCTATTGAAATGATTGGGTGATTTTGTGTCACATGACAAAAAATAACAAAGTTTAATTGGCTGTTAGAGCTATGAAAAATTTTCACCTTAATAATGTTTTTTCTACAGCCGTGCGGAGAAATTTTCCGCACTGATATCGGTGCGGATTTTTTTTTCCGCATGGCTGTCAAAAAAAATAATAATAATAAATTACTACAAATTATGTAGGTATGTATACTTATTTCCGCACGTTTGTAAAAAAACTATTGTACCTAACACTTGCGGAAAATGTTTTTCTGCACTCGGCTCCTTCACGGCAGACTCCTGTGGAAAAATTAATTTTCTGCACTTGTTAGGTGAAATAGCTATTTTCTACAGCCGTGCGGAAAAATCAATTTTTCCGCACGGCTGTCAAAAAAAATATTAAATAAATGGATACAAATTATGTAGGTATGCTTATTTCCGTATGTCTGTAGAAAAACTATTGTACCTAACACTTGCGGAAAATGTTTTTCCTGCACTCGGCTGCTTCACCGAACTCCGCTACGCGTCGTTCGGTGAACGGCAGACTCGTGCGGAAAAATTCATTTTCCGCACTTGTTAGGTAAATAGCTATTCTCGAACATTCGGCGCCCTTCCATCTACCCGCTAAGACCCGCGGCTGAGGAGAGGTTACCGTGTACGGGCCACCGGTCCTATGCCGAATTCGCGCCGATTCGGCGATACTACTAGTGGCCCGTCGGCGGTTATGCCTATCCTATACCGTCGCCGAAGGGCTGGCTCGCCGAATCTCAGCCACCCTTCGGCCAGGCGGACATGCCCTACCAGCATGCCGAGGCGGCAGCCGTTAAGCGGATCGCAAGTGGCCTTTCGGCATTCCGCATTCGTGCCGTTATCGGGCCAGTCGTTCTGTGTTTGTTGGGTACTTTTAGTGTCGAAAAGACTTCGATATGACACCAAAATAGAAAATAGTACATTAAAATACAAGTTTCATAAGACGTCATTTTATCAGCGTGTTTTAATCCAACATTCAAAAACGCGCGTGTTTTAAAGTTACCAATGACAACATCAACAACCAACAACCCGAGAAAGCTGAACTCCATAAACTAAATTATTCTCAGATTTGAAGCCAAAATCTATGAAAAAAGGCACTCAGAAAAATTGATAAATCACCACAATTGCTTAGCACGATTTTATCTCAGGAACTATAAGTGTCAATGAGCTGAAATTTTCAGGGATTGTAGTCCTTTGAAAAGGATAATTTTCAGTGAAAGATTCAGCTTTCTATCTATTATAGAAAAAAAGTTATGACTTTTCAAAATTTTCCAAAAAAATCATAAGGGGGGTACCTTCCTACTAAAACGATGAAATTTCAAATTTTTTTTTGTCGAGATTTTGTGTCCTAATGGTCCCTCGTGATACCCTGAACTCCATAAACTAAATTATTCTCAGATTTGAAGCCAAAATCTATGAAAAAAGGCACTCAGAAAAATTGAAAAATTGATAAATCACCACAATTGCTTAGCACGATTTTATCTCAGGAACTATAAGTGTCAATGAGCTGAAATTTTCAGGGATTGTAGTCCTTTGAAAAGGATAATTTTCAGTGAAAGATTCAGCTTTCTATCTATAATTGAAAAAAAGTTATGACTTTTCAAAATTTTCCAAAAAAATCATAAGGGGGGTACCTTCCTACTAAAACGATGAAATTTCAAATTTTTTTTTGTCGAGATTTTGTGTCCTTATGGTCCCTCGTGATACCCTGAACTCCATAAACTAAATTATTCTCAGATTTGAAGCCAAAATCTATGAAAAAAGGCACTCAGAAAAATTGAAAAATTGATAAATCACCACAATTGCTTAGCACGATTTTATCTCAGGAACTATAAGTGTCAATGAGCTGAAATTTTCAGGGATTGTAGTCCTTTGAAAAGGATAATTTTCAGTGAAAGATTCAGCTTTCTATCTATTATAGAAAAAAAGTTATGACTTTTCAAAATTTTCCAAAAAAATCATAAGGGGGGTAACTTAAGGTCTAAATGTCAACTTTTTAATTATTGACTTGTCAGGAGTAGGTACTTGTAGATAACGTCAAATAAAATATAACAAGTGTCAAGCACGAATTAAGCATTTTACAATTATTAGTAATTTATGATTTGATTAAACGTATAGCAATAAAAAAAAATAGTGTAAAGTATTCGTATTGTAAAGTATTGCTCTATTTCGAGCACTCCGGCTGCGCCGTCGTGCTCGAAAAATCGCGCGTGTTTTAAAGACCTTAATCTACGTCGGTGTCATTATGACACATTTAGCATTGTCATTTGAATGTCATTAGGTCCTTCATAATAGCACTAGTGCGTTTAAGAATTCATAATAACACCCAAATTTTGAAATGAAAAATATACAAAAAGAAAGTTAGTTGCCAGAAGAACCTTTTCAATAATGCTGTCTCTATATTCGAAGAGACACTTTCGAACTCAGAATCACCAATAATAATATTATTTTCCACTATAAAATTGAATTTATGGCACAAAAATGGACTCCAATATTGAAGCTGCCAAAGTCAAAATTCTAAAAACCAACAAGCAGGTTCTCGACTAGTACGGGCACCTGCTAAATTTCAAATTTTAATTTGAAAAGTTTTTGCTATTTCAAGGCTAATCAAATCTATTTGGACCATTGTAGATTAAATTTTGAATGATACACGTTCGATATGAACTTTATTAATGAAACTTGTGTAACTAAACCACTCAGCTAACGCCTCGTGGTTTAACGTTACACGCGTTTCATTATGGCGTTCATATCGAACTTGTATCATTAATAACTATAATATCCACTTATACTTTAATATACTATTTCCTGGAAATTTTATTCTCATATTTCGATTTCATATATTTAGGTTGGTAACACTACATGCCAAATATAGAAATCTTCTATTATTTTTTTATCGCGAATGACAGTTCGATGGCCATCAGTCAGCCAGTGTTACCAACCTCCGATAAGAAAAAAAGGACTAAAAGGAGTGTCATAAAGGGCTTCTTTTCGAAACTACTTTTAGTGTCGAAAAGACTTCGATATGACACCAAAATAGAAAAAATATATTGTAAGGAACGTCAACCTATACTATACAACTACCCAAAAAGTTAATACTAATAAAGATGCGAGGTATAACAGAAACAGACGAAATGACAAGAAGGATTTAATTAAATTTCTACAAAAAAAAACTAAATAATTTTTGGAATTCTGATTTATGCCATTGTATACTTAACACACATAAGATTGGCGCTAATGGCAAAAAACACCATAAATTGATTAATTTGTTTTATTCCAGTTCAAATTACATTTTTGTAATAACTTCTTTTTATTATCGAATTTCTAAAAAGATAGCGCCATTCCTTATATAAAAAATCAAATGCAAAAAAGAAATTTTATATTATAACTTCAACTGTTAAAAAGTTATGTTGAAATTAAGAACGCAATGCATTCCTTGTTTCATTCATCGCATCCCCAGTAGGAAGTATTATTAGGAGAGGAAGAAAACAATGATATACTGCATTAGGTGCTTCGCGCAGGAAAAAATATTTTGGCATTGAGGCGCATTCAATTCCCTTAAAGTTGTCGGCATTAATTTGGTATAAATACCGTGCCGAGATCCATTACCGGCAGACTAAGTACTCAATTGGGAAAAGCCCTTCTAGCTAAGTCTCCTCCCAAAGCAAACTACCTTTATTGGGAAACGCCCTTCTGGACCTGTCTCAAACCCAGCTTTAGTCTTCAGTCACGCCGAGTGTATTTAATACAGAGAGCCCTAAGTAGTACGTCCCTCCGTAGAAGAGACATGATATTATTCCTTCTATATATTCAATACCTATCGTCACAACTCTGGCTTATGTGACAGAAATCTTGGGTTCGTTTATTCTAAAATCATAGTCCAATTAACACAACAATAAATTATTCCACGTTACTATACACTATGAAATCATTTTTTATAGGAATCTCAAATATCTATGTTGGCTACTGCTACTATACACAGAAAAGGAAAATTATCCTATTATTGGAACTCTCATAACAAGGTTGAAAATAATTAAAAAAAAAAATATTGTCCAACTGTAAAAATATTTATTGTTATAATAATAGTACAAAAGAACACATAACTAGAACAGAAAAGAAACGCAAATTTAAGTTAAACTGAAAATTTCTTCTTTTGTATATTTGAAAAAAAAATCGACCGTAAATCATTTAATCATTATAATATATAACATGGGTTTTCCTATTTTTTAAAAATTTTTATTGGCGTTTTAAGAGATTTTGATACGAAATCATTTTTTCCAATGCAACAAAACAGAAGAGGATACACACAACAATTTCACCTGGTCACTATTTGCCTGTGAACGCAGCACATTAAACACAGTAAGGCACCAGAATGTTTTAATATTTTTTACATTAAATGGGTAAATTGCATTGGAAAAAATGTATTTCGGTGGCACTAAAGTTATACAATCTTGCTGATGATGATCTCGGGCCTGCAACAAAAACAATCCTAATAAATAGTTTTTTATTAATTAAAATAAATCACCTTTAGTCGCTTTCTGCCTCAGAATCGCTCTCCACCTCGGCATTCTGGAGCCACTCCATAAACGGCCTCATTTGATCTACAAACATCATTTTACCCTTAACGTTAAAGTCCTGTTTATACCATTTGAGAATAGTTTGTTCGGAAATGACGTCGTTTTTGTAGAACAACATGACGATTTTTTGAAAGGCGCGCATAAAAGTCATATTTGAGTAACAGTATTCTTGTACTTTGAGGAGAAGAGACAATTCGGCACGTTGTCCTGTAGCAAAGGCCTGGAACAAGACTGTATAGTGGTTCAAATGACGGACAGCCTGATCTGTTACTAATTCCTAAAAAATTATTGATAATTAACAAGAGAGTGATTTTATAATAATAATAATAAAACCTCTTTTTTGGACCATTCTGGTATGTCCATTACAGTAGTCCAAATGATGCAAACAGTTTCATGCTCCTGTATATTGTCCCTCAAAGCAATTTCCTTGATTTCAGCAATCAACTCGCGCTGGGGTTTATTTTCTGATAAGGCCTCGGCCAGAGTAATTTGCAGCTCTTTTTTGGCCGCCTGCTGGTGCTGATCCTCGTACAGCTTAAGGACTTCGTCCAGCCCGTTTTCTTGAAAAGCAGTCTTGAAATAAACGTGAGACTGTTTCGTGTCGGGTATAAATGTGGAAAAGTACTGCTCCAAGTTTGCTTTTTTGACAGCAGAGCTTAGAGAATTGGCGCCCCTTTCTGTACGCCAATATTTGAATATGTTGATCAGGAAATCGAGCGCCAAGTGATCTTTGATTAAATGAGAATTGTTCAGGACAAGTACGCTTTGAAATGGAACGCTACCATTCGAAATCCATAATGAGAGCATTGCTGCTAACTTTTTACGATCAGTCTCCTTAAAATACTTAACAAACATCAAAATCTTCTTTATTTCATCCTGAAACAAATAAGGTCACAAAAATATCCAAAAGGTTGTTGGTATTTATATTATAGTTGGCATAATTCCAATTGTAACAACTCATGATAACATTCTTTGTACGGAAAAACAATGAATGCCAGTACTGGTGTTAATTTTATTTCCCCAAATTACTTGAAAGTCTATTAAACTGTAATTTTTTCAACAAACAACTAAGAAGCATTTGGGATTTTTTAACATTTTTAAATCAATATTATTCTTACTTGGAAAATTTTTTCGAGGTACTTATAACGGCGCATCAACTTGATAAACACCTGTTCCCAGTTCTTCATTTCTTCCATATTGACCTCGTCTGAGGCATTAAAAATACAGGCGTCCGTCTGGTGCGGGCCATCGCCTTCCTGGGACAAAGTACCCCCCGGAACTGAAATAAAATTAATTAATTTTCTAAGATTTTATTTGTATTTTATATTGTAAAAAATAATCTATTTTTAGGTCAAAACATGTCGATTTTTTTTTATTTTTGTCCTTCTGCATGTGACACGCAAATCCAATAAAAATTTTCGTGTATCTTAAATAAAATATGATTGCATTATCTAGCCCAATCCATTACATCACGAAATTGATAAATGCAATGTCTTTTTGTCAGATAACTCAGTAAAATAATTATTATTAAGTATCAATAAACTAGTTTATTATTAGATTGATAATAAATATTCAATTGCCGTTAATGAATTCCAATGTAAATCAATATAATCTATAAATTGAGCTGGCAGGCAGGGTAGAGAACCAGATTTAAAAATACAAATTTCGCCTTGACACAGATTTTTAAATGCTGGCGCACTTAAGGGCTACATTTTGCCTTGGAGGAGAATTTTCAGTTATGCAGGAACATTTTTTGAAGTGCCAATAATTGATCGAAATTATTAATGCACAAATTAAAGTTTTTAGCTTGAATAGGGCTTATGAAACTGAGAATGAAATAACCACAGACCCACGATCATTCTGGAAGCATGTACGTATGTATCGAACAGATAATGGCATTCCCATTTGTCTTAATTATAACGGTCAAGTGAGAATGTGGAAGGTACTGTCGGTTTGTTTTCTCACATTTTCTCATCGGTCTATGAAAAATCAAAAATGAATAAAAATGGAGAGCTTGTAAATGTTACTTCATGCTCGAGCAATAGTCTCATTATTAAGATAAGTGATATATTGGTCAAATATAGATATAAAAAAGGGCCCTATATTCATAAAGAACTGTGCTTTTGCATTATCGAGGCCTCTTTGGCTGATATACATACAATAAATCTCTGTCATTGGGTATACTTCCCAATGTATGGAAAATGTCTTTTATTTGTCCAATTTATAAAAACAATGGCTCAAGATCTCACTAACTATCAGCCAATAACTATAATGTCACATTTCCCCAAAATTTTTAAATGTATTGTTAATGAATTTCTTTCTGTGTGTTTCCAAAATATTATCTCTGTCAAACAGGGCAGATCAATTACAACAAATTTACTATTATACAAACAAATATTTTTTAAAGCGCTTGAGAATGGATTTGCAGTTGACTCCATTTATACAGATTTTGGAAAGGCTTTTGACAGGGTTGATTTTGGTATTTTGTTGCGGAAGCTTTCTGGTTATGGTGTAAATGGTATATTGTTGAAATGGGTTAAAAATGGTAATAAAAATTGGAACATTTTCATCTGATGACTATAATTTAACATCTGGAGTTCCACAAGGGGGTCATCTTGCCTTCATTATTCTACTTAGGGGTGATTCTGGATGAAAATTTAAATTGGAAGGAACATGTACATTATGTTACCAAGAAAATAAGAAAGCTAATCTACAAATTTTATGAATTAAGGAACATCCTTGACTTTACAACACTTAAAATGATTTATTACTCTCTTGTTGAATCAATTTTGAATTAAGGGATAGTGGTTTGGGGAAATGCTGGCGTTTCAATTCTATCAAAATTGCATGTTGCACAAAAATGGATTTTAAAAATTATTCTTTTTAAAAAAAGGAGGTATCCCACAAATTTGGTATTCAATGACAGCGGTGTTCTCAATCTTGAACAGCTATACATAAAATCAGTAATTAGATTTATGCTGAAAAACAATTAGTTTAGAGTAGATTAAGCACATGGAGTGAATACTAGAGGTGCGGGTCATGGAAATGTGGAATTACAGAACCCTAAACATGCACGTTGTCAGAATCACATATATTGTGTAGGGCCTGAAATATTTAATGACCTACCAGGTAAATTTAAAACGCAAAACTACTCCACAGCCAAATCCGAAATTACTAAATGGATACTTGTAAATAACTATAAGATTAATTATTTGATCTAGACAGCCTTTTGGTTTAAACTTCAGTGCTCTCGGTTGTGATTTTTCTTGTTTGTCTGTTTTTTTTCCTTCTAGAACATGCATACCTCATGCTGAACATAATCAGTAAACAAATTGCTCATTTTTGTTAATTTTTATTAGACCTAGACACATATTATATATATATAGGTAACTCATTTTGAAATGGGTAACCTACCTCAAATAGTATTAAACTTGCAATGAAATGGGTGCACACACAATATTATGAATATCATTGTGCACCGAATAGTCAGTAGGAATAAGTTGTTATTAGGTCTGTTCGCACAGAGATCGCAGGCCGGTCGGCGTGGGTCTCATTGGTTGAAACTAGTTTTCTGACTGTTTTCGGCCAGTGGGGATCGCTCTGGCTGGTTTGTGATTGCTGTGCGAACGGGCCTATTATTTATTATTTATTGTGAATATATAATAGTATTATGTATATTTTTGTTATACTACTGATAAATAAATAAAATAAATAATAATAAACACCTCAACATAGGTAAATGTATACAATTTAGCAGAAAGTTAAGTCTAAAACTTAATTCATATTATGTACAAAATATTCTGCTTGATAGTTTAACTACAAATAAGGATCTAGGAGTTGTTTGACCATTGACCACAAGTTAACTTTTGTGGATCATACTGATTATATTTGTAATAAAGCTCTGAAAATGTTAGGCTTTGTAAAAAGACATACCAAAGATTTCAAAAATGTATTTGCTCTCAAAACTTCGTATGTGTGTTTAGTGAGATCTCAACAGGAGGATAATACTTGTGTATGGTCACCATACTGTCAGTGTCACAGAGATAGACTAGAAAGAGTGCAGCACAAATTTTTGTGTCACATTAGATTTAGATTAGGAATTCATGTTGAAACATGTACAGGGTCTGTTCCTTATAGTTAGTGCAGCTCCTACAACTTAAACAAAAGAAAATACAAACAAGTTAAATACAAAAGTTGTAGGGTTTTATTTTAGACCGGTGCATAACGACCATTTTTTCAAAACGATTTTCTCCCGTCTGCCATTAAGGGTGGTTATTCTTTATGCAATAAGAAGTGGAATGGCTGAAATTTCAAAGAGCCCCGCGTGTGACAATACAATGATATGCTAATTTGAAAATGTAATGAAAAGTGGAGATGTCGATCAATATTATCCCGTCTGCCACACATTATGGAGGTAATTTTAACAAAAATGAGTAGAAGGATGCTAAATGGCGGAAACCCTGGGTTAGTATAAAGTGTCATATTAATAATTTCAAAATGTCACCAAAATCAGACATGTGGATCAACAACCTCCCATCTGCCAAATTAAATTTATGTTACATTCACGATGTAATACATCAATAAGTAAATGGCAGAAAATCTCGGTTGGTATAATAATATTTAACAATTTTTGAAGTTGTATCAAAATGCTGAGATGTTGAAACAATTTTCTCCCATCTGCCATTTGGAAGATAAGTTTGACATGCAAAGTAAAATCCACGAAATATATTGGCAGATGTATCCAAGGCATATTAACAATTGGCAGAAACAATAAAAATGTCAAAATTTTTCAAAGTTGAGATCAATTTTTTCCCGTCTGCCAATAATTTATATTAAATTAGCTACTACTAAAAGCCTAATTTTCGACTGGCAGAAATTGCAGGCTGATACAAGTTCTCATAATTTATGAACAAAATTGGAACAAAAATTGTTCATATCATGAACGTTTTTAACCCGTCTGCCGTTTGTTTCAGTGAAAAGTAGTTATGGGAATAATCATACTCTCAATATGGCAGAAACCTCAATAAGCTACATACGTTGCACAATTATTGTTAAATTGCTAAAAATGTTTATGTGTCCAAACAATGGACCTTTTGCACTCAATCAAAATTAGGTATATAATTTATCTGTAACGAAAGTGTATTTTATGTATACTACATAAAAGTATGGTTGGTTAATTTTTAAAAAAATCTTGAAGCCAGAAATTGGAAGAAAAAAAAGCAGCTTATTTGAATTTTGTGCCATATTTTTGCACAATCAAAAATCACTGATGGTCAAATTTCCATGTTCCAAACGATTCATTTTTTTTTCTTTTTTTAACACATCAGACAAAAAAGGAGACATATACATATATATATATCAAAATCGCTTTGAATATCGACTTTGGTACAGCCCTACTTTTGACTCGACTAGTATCGACAATTTTCTTTCCTTGTCTATAAATGCGAATTAAACAAAGAAATCGATATCTGTACTAATCCGGCACAGTATAAAGCAGGACGCGCACTGAATCGACTCGGACCGGTCGACTCGGCGAAGAGCAGTCGGCAGTTTTTGATATGCAATTAAATGAGGCTCAGTAAATTATGTTGCGGTTGCATCGACACAAAATCCAAGTCTAAACGCAAAACTGGGTTTTTGACACCAGTTTGTCACAACAAATTGATCTCAAAAATCGGGTATTGCGTTAAACATGAAATTGTGTTGGTGCAACATCCCATTAATGTGTTATAGGCATTGAAAATAGCTATTTATACAATAAGTTACGAAATAAGCGTCTTTTAGGCACGCGACATGAAAATTGTCCAACGAGGCAAAGCCGAGTTGGACAACACGTCGAGTGACTAAAAGACATCGTTTCGTAACGTATTGTATACAAGATTTTTTCTACTGGCATTTTACAATAAAAAAACACAATTTTATTTCATGTGAATAAGTCGATTACACCCAAAATCTTTGTTACCTGCTTTTACTTGACACCTGACACTTTTCATGCGATTTTCTTTTCAAAATTCGACGTCAATAATTAAAATCCTAGAAAGTAGGTAATAACACAAAGTTCTGTTTTGAGTAACCCAAACGTTCAATTCAGTAATTCCATTCTCAATATTCATAATAAATACAAAACAAAATTCAAATATGTGTTTAGTGTGTTTTTTATTTCTGAATAATGAATGACACTTTTAGGCACTAGTGCTTAAAAATTACTTTTACGCACTCATAAGTCACTTTTACGCATTCAAAAGTCACTTTTACGCACTGAGTGCCTAAAAGTAACTTTCACGCACTCAGTGCCTAAAAGAATGTCGTTTCAAAACTGAAATGACAATCGAAAAGTTGCTATTATGAAACGTCAGTAGAAAAAAATATATAACGTATGTGAGATTTCAAACATTTGTACATAAGCAGTCATTTTGCCTTTTGATAGGTATTCAGTTGTTTCGATAGAAACTTTATCTACAAGCGTTTGGTTATGACGTTTTTACATAACCATTTTTCTGGTATTTGAGTTATGTCATGAGACTCATAACATAACTAGTTGTGTTATAGCCTAGGTTATGAATTCATAAAACAACTAGTGGTGTTATGGACTAGGTTATGAATCTATAACACAACTACTTTTGGTGATTTGACAAATGTCAAAGGTAAACGTGTGAAGGTAAACAACTACTAATAAACGGAAATAATGGAAAAAACATTCTTATTTTTGGCTTTGCAGATAAAACGATGTACAGGGTGGTCCAAATTGGACACTTTCTTATGGAAACACCCTTTATTTTTAGAGAAAGAAAAAAATGGACCCCCCACTCTGAAGCTCAAATTTCATGAAATCTTGATTGGTGCAAACCGCATTTTGATATCTTCAATTTGGACCAACCTGTACATCACACGTGCGTTTAAACATGACTACAAAACTCGTCGTTCTAATCTTTCACACTCGTTATTGTAATCATGTTCATAAACGCACTTGTAATGTAAATAACTATTACTCAATTAAGTTGGCAGACGGGGGAAAATTGCAATTTAACAAACATATGTGCAACATTTGTAACTTATTGCGGTTTCTGCCATATTGAAAATATGCATATTCTCATAACTACATTTCACGTAACCAAATGGCAGACGGGTTAAAAACGTTCATCATATGAACAATTTTTGTCGCAATTTTGTTCATTGTTTATCAGGACTTATACCTGCCTGCAATTTCTGCCAGTCAAAACTTAGGCTTTTGGTAGCAACTTATTTAATATATATTAATGGCAGACGGGAAATAATTGATCTCAACTTTGAAAAATTTTAACATTTTGAAAAATTAAAAATAAATATTTGTACCACTTCAATTTTTCTGCCGGTGCAAAGGTACATTATTTATCTAAAATCCATTGCAACAAAACATGTTTTAGGCGGGAGGTTTCATCGTCTCAGCATTTTGATACAACTACAAAAATTGTTAAATATTATTATACCAACCGAGATTTTCTGCCATTTACTTATTGATGTATTACATCGTAAATGTAACATAAATTTAATTTGGCAGACGTGAGGTCGTTGATCCACATGTCCGATTTTGGCGACATTTTAAAATTAGTAATATGACACATTATACTAACCTAGGGTTTCTGCCGTTTAGCTTCTTTGTACTCATTTTTGTTAAAATTACCTTCACAATGTGTGGCAGACGGGACAATATTGATCCACATCTCCACTTTTCATTACATTTTCAAATTAGCATATCATTGTATTGTCACACGCGGGGCTCTTTGAAATTTCAGCCATTCCACTTCTTATTGCATAAAGAATAACCACCCTTAATGGCAGACGGGAGAAAATCGTTTCAAAAAAATAGTCGTTATGCACCGGTCTATTTCTATTATCTTTCGTACATGATGTCAAAATGGGCAAATGACAGGTGCCAACTGTCATAATGACAGCACTTGCATTTTTTTAAATGGAACACCCTGTATATTTTTGGCTAGGATGATAGACTTTTTTCTTCTGATCTCAAGTATACCATATATGTTGATATTTGGTTCAGCTGTTTTTAGACTATTCAAGTTTAAAAATGTATTTACATTACCCTAAATAAGGTCTGTTCCCAGTTTCTAATATCAATGATGAGGCTTGCTCAATGCAATTTTAAAATGAAATAACGCAAAAACATCCGAACCAAATAACAACACACATGGTATATTTGAAATCAGAAGAAAAACAACTATCATCCTAGCTGAAAATATACAGGGTGTTCCATTTTAAAAAATGTAAGTGCTATCATTATGACAGTTGGCACCTGACATTCGCCCATTTTGACATATACGAAAGATAATAGAGATAATACCCTACAACTTTTGTATTTAACTTTTTTTTGTATTTTTTTTTGTTTATATTTGAATGTTTAAATATGTTTTTAAAAATGCTGTAAACAACATTTTTTACCATGGGCGCAACCTTATATATATGACAGGTGAGGCGATATCGGCTGTCAAATATTGGAATTTAATATTCAAAAGCAAGGTAACTATGTCAGATTTTGATGAAGCAAGTATCGATTCCTATTAAGTCGACCAAGGTAAATATGTAAATCAAAAAATGTCAACCATTTTGAAATCTGTCAAAACCCTGCCGAATGGCAGCACTCATATTTTTCAGTTTTCAATATGTCATGATGTGTCATTTGACAGTTTTAGCTTATGTAAATTCTGAGTTGAAAAATTGAAAAAAAAAATTACAGAACTGTCAAAACCTGTCATTTATTTTAGTAGGATAAAATAATTGATATGTATCTGGTTCTTTTTTGTTTTAAGGTAGTTTATTGGTAATAAAACATTAAGCAAAGTTCATAGACATCAAATTTTGACAGCTGTCAAAATCTGGAATCTGAGCTTTGTTTAACGTTGTATCACCAATAAACTATCTTCAAACGAAAAAGAGCCAAATTGGATTTTTTTTTACTAAAACAAATGACAGGTTTTGACAGTTAAATAAAAAAAATTCTCTCAATTTCTGAACTCAGAATTTACATAGGTTGAAACTGTCAAATGACACATCATGAAATATTGAAAACTAAAAAATATTGAGTGCTGCCGTTTGACAGGGTTTTGACAAATGTCAAAATGGTTGACACTTTTCTAATTTCCTTGATGGACTTATTAGGAATCGATACTTGCTTCATCAAAATCTGCCATAGTTACCCTGCTTTTGAATATTATTAATTCCAATATTTGACAGCTGCTATCGGCCTGATTACGTTAAAATAGGATTGAAATTAACAAAATTCTGAGGCGAATTGTGTATTGATGTGATTCTGGAAAAACTCAAATCTTCAAAAAAAAAAACATTGAAAGACGTTCTATTTGTTTTTGAAGAAAATGTTTGCAGGAATGAATTGATATTTTGAAAATAAATAGAGAAAAGATTGAAATTTAGGAAAAAAAATTAAAATTTTCTTCTGCTGACTCATTTTGGTAAAAATCCCAGTCAGAAGACTTTGAAGCTGTAAAACTTTTGAAGCTGCATTGAAACTTTCAATTAAATATTTATAGAGAATGCAATTGGTTTAAATTGAAGCCTAATTACGTTAAAATTGGATAGAAATTAACAAAGTGTTTAGACAAAATGTCTGTCAATCACATTCTTGAAAAAATCAAAAATCCATCAAATGGAATGTTATAGGAAAATAAACTAAAACTAATGAATAAAAAACTTGAAATAATGAGTGAGCTCCCAGGATAAGATAAAAGTTGCAGTAGAAATCCAATTTAAAATTCAAAAAAAAATATTTGAAAGTGATACAAAATAGACCTGCTTAATCAACATCAACATCTAATCCATAGACAAAAGGTTGATTTGTTTATTCAACAGTGTTTACAACACAAGTGCCAATATAGAGAGTTTTTCTTGGACCTTGAAATTTAATATTCATGCAATAAATATTTACCAATGAAACAAAGAGAATTACAAACAAAAACAATTTAACTTGCCCAGATGTATGAAAGAAATTAAATTAAATGTTGCATTTTTATTGACAATTGAGTGTTGCATTTTTATTGATAATAAATGGAATTCTTACCGAGAATGCCTCCAGCGATGAGAATATCGAATAGGGCCTCTCCATAGCGACGGTAGTCAAGTTTGTTTCCGGCACCGTCCAAGTAGCGTGAGATTGCTTCAAAATCGTTGGCACATTTATCCAGTCCAGAGATTATTGCATCCCTAAACCCGAATGGATCATACCTCTCTTTTTCATCTGGAATTAAAAAAAAATCACATATTTTTTTCTTTTTCAAACAAAGGTAGATAATTTACATTTTGTATTGTCTTTCAATTCAGATTTACCTATAAAACATAAATAGGTAAAATTCGAGATAAAATTTTACTCTAAAAAGATCAGGAGTCTATTAGAATCATGACTTCATCTTCTTCAATAGAGAAATTTCTGGAAAGAAATTGTAACAACTCACGATAACATTCTTTGTATGGAAAAACAATGAATGCCAGTACTGGTGTTAATTTTATTTCCCCAAAGTACTTTAAAGTCTGTTAAATTATAATCTTTTAACAAACAACTAAGAAGCATTTGGGATTTTTAAATTTTTAAATTAATATCACGGCGCATCAACTTGATATTTTTGAAAAAAAAGAATCATGATTAGAAAAAGGCAATGAGCTCCTGAGGAGAAATTTCCTTATCAATAGAGTAGTCTACAATAGGAAACATCTGAGTGCTGTCACCAATAATTTTATCTTCAGAAATCAATTCAAGAATCGCCTCAACCAGGAAATGAGAAGTTGAACCACATCCTCGTTTGTACATTACTGTCATTCACAACAGGATATCCAGTGTACACTATACAGGAGACATCCAAAACTATTCAGGGAAAAAAGGAATGATACAAGACATGTAACGTATGCAGTGCCTGTGTGCTTAAGGGTGAAGTTTTCTTTTGTATAATTTCGGAACCACAGGGATATGACTGATTTCTGTAATAAAAACTTTGTGAAGGTAGGCGTTGAAATGTGTAAAAAAATTACTACACCCATTGCCCCGATCATAATTGAAACAATTGCACTTTCTTCTATGTTTTTAAGATCAACGGACTCATTGAAAATAATAAAACACATACATTCACTAAAAACTAAATGCGCTCCAGGAATTGATGGAATCAGCTCAAAGATAACAAAATATTTCCATAGGCACTTAACTACATACTAATATTTCGTACTGGTAAAGTTCCAAATAATTTTAAAACTGCAGTGGTTACCCCCATTCATAAATCTGGAGACAGGACAGAAATAAGCAACTATCGCCCTATCAATGTTATTAACACCTTTGCAAAGATATTCGAAAAATGTCTCAAGGATCGATTGGTGAGTTTCTTACAACAAAACAGTATTTCATCAGAACATCAATTCGGCTTTACTAATGGTTTGAGCACCACAGATGCGATTTGCAAACTTTCGGAACAAATTTCTAGGTGTCTTGATGGCGACAAGTGCTTGGCTGTCTTTTTGGATCTGGCAAAGGCGTTCGACACGGTACCTCATGAATCTCTTCATGAGGTATTGCAATCTTATGGAGTGAGGGGTGTCATGTTGGACGTTTTTGATAGCTACCTCAGGAACAGATCCCAGATTGTTAAAATGGGGAATATAAATAGTGAGTGACCCACTAACAATAAAAATTGGTGTACCGCAAGGTACTGTATTAGGTACCATTCTTTTTAAAACATACATAAATTCGTTAACTGACATCAAAATAAATAGTGGGTCAGTGATTTCCCAAGCTGACGATACAGTGTTGGTTTTCTCAAGAAAGTCTTGGCCATCAGTTAAGAATTTCGCTGTAGAGGGACTAAATAAGGTCAAGGATTGGTTGGACACTTTCAAGTTAACCTTGAATATTGTCAAAATCAAATATACCTGCATTCTCAATTACGGCTGCAAATCGGCCTGACTTTCAGGATATTATATTGATAAGCTAAATAAGCGAATTAGTGGTGTAGCGTGCATTAAGTATTCGGGAGTAACGTTTGATAAACAGTTGAAATGGGATCAACATGTCAATAACTTAACAAAAAAATTTCGTAAACTGATTTATAAATTTTACAATATTAGAGAAATATTGAGCCGAAAGCTTCTTATTTTGATCTACAAGGCCTTAGCTGCCTTACTTATAACTTATAAGGTATGGCATTGTGGCATGGGGTGGTCTGTACCAGAACTCACTAAAACCACTAAATGTGGTTCAAAATTATATTAATAAAATTATTCTTAAACAAAACAGATGTTTCCCCACGAACCTCCTTTACTCTGAGGAAATTCTTGACGTGCGTTCTCTATAATGCTTGACAATGTGTTCATATATTCACAAAACTAAGTGCAAATCATATGTAAATCTCACTTATAGAACTAGAATTAACTTAGATAGGCACCTGTTAATGCCTGTGAACAACACATCTAAAAATATGACATCATGTACCTACCTCACTCCCAAACTGTACAGGGTGGTCCAAATTGAACATTTTCTTATGGAAACACTCTTTATTTTCAGAGATACAAAAAAAATGGACCACCCACTCTGAGGCTCAAATTTCATGAAATCTTGATTGGTGCAAACCGCATTTCGATATTTTCAGCCTTTTAGCCGCTAGAGGGCAATTCTCAATTTTGTGCAATACTGTGAAACCTTCATAACTTTTTTGTTTATGAAAATAATTGATTTCCGTAAAGACTTTCTTGAAGCACTTTTTTAAGCAGAATTCAGTGACGTTTTCAGTTTTTTTCTATTTGGCTACAATTTCGAGAATTGACCTAAATCTGATTTTTTTCAATATGACACTCTATACAGGGTGTATATTTTAAATGATACCACTATGGCTATATCCGAAACGGTAAGAGCTACAAGGTCGGTTAAATTTAAAAAAAGTTGCCTTTTTTGATACTCATTCAAGACTTGTTCACAGTGTTGCCAAAGTCCTTTTAGTTTATGAAATACAGGGCGATTTATAAAAAAGGCCTAAAATTATTTCATCAATTATTTTGAAAACTATTGATATTCGAGACACAATTTAAATTTGAAAGTTTTACAATTTTTTTTTCGCTCTACAACATGGCATCTTCAAATTTTAAATCCGACGTTTCGTGATCGAGCTACCATCATCAACTCAATTTTTTTAAATACGGACCTGGATTTTTAATGTCATTTTTGGAAAGAGACTTAAGGGCACTTCCTAAAAACGACATAAAAAATCCAGGTCCGTAATTTAAAAAATGAAGTTGATGATGGTATCTCGATCACGAAACGTCGGATTTAAAATTTGAAGATGTCATGTTGTAGAGCGGAAAAAATTATAAAACTTTCAAATTTAAATTGTGTCTCGAAAATCAATAGTTTTCGAAATAAATGATGAAATATTTTTGGACGTTTCTTAGAAATCACCCTCTATTTCATAAACTAAAAGGAATTTGGCAACACTGTAAATGAGTCTTAAATGGGCATCAAGCAAGGCTACTTTTTTCTAATTTAACCGACCCTGTAGCTCTTACCGCTTCGGATATAGCAATAGTGGTATCACTTAAAATATACACCCTATATTAATAGCTCATTGGAAAGCCCTGCTTTTGCTTATTTCAATGATATAAAGTTCAATAAGTTTATCCCTAACGGTTTTCGAGAAAAAAAAAATCTGTTTTTGTCATAAGAAATAATGTGTTGGAAAAGAACTTTATATCTGTAAGGAAAATGAAGAAGGTCTCTTCCTAACACATTGCTTCTTATGACAAAAACCGAAATAACTTTTTTTCTCAAAAACTGTTAGGAATAAACCTATCGAATTTTATATCATTGAAATCAGCAAATGCGGAGTTTTCTAATAAGCTATTAATATATGGGGTGTCCTATTGAAAAAAATCGGATTTTGCTCAATATCTCGACATCAGAGCCAAATAAAAAAAAACTGAGAATTTCACTGAATTCTGCTTAAAAAAGTGCTTCAAAAAAGTCTTTACGAAAATCAATTATTTTCATAAACAAAGGAGTTATGTAGGTTTCACAGTATTGCTCAAAATTGAGAATCGCCCTCTAGCGGCTAAACGGCTGAAGATATCGAAATGCGGTTTGCACCAATCAAGATTTCATGAAATTTGAGCCTCAAAGTAGAGGGTTCATTTTTTTCTATCTCTTAAAATAAAGGGTGTTTCCATAAGAAAGTGTCCAATTTGAACCACCCGTACAACATGTTGCCTCTACAAGTTAGGCCTCTGTCAAGACAAAGATTCAATATTGAGTGTAGAAAATTTATTTTTGATGATCTGCACAGTTTCAGGGCCCTATTTTTGATGTAAACATTTGGCTTCTTTTCTTTTCTTTGCCTTATGCTTGAGCCGTAGTGCATGGTCACTTCCTTTTGATTTGTTTTTTTTTCATTTAATTTTTTTTATTTGTGAAGTTTCTTGGGTGGTTATTGGGGTGTTATTGTATTGATTGATCTTTTTGGTTCATATACTGGGGTTAACTGTTTTTGATTTAATGTAGCCGACTAGGCAATATTATTATTACTATTTTTTTTTTTAGCATAAGTTATGAATTTAGCGTTAAATCTCGTTGCACATGGTGTTCAGTTACCTAGGTGCAACTTTTACATTCTTATTGGACTGTTTCTACATTAGACTTAGGAGTATTTTATTGTTATGTACCTAATTAAACAGCTTTAAATAAAGTATTATTATTATTAATATTATTAAAATCTTGAGAGGATTGGGGAGATCAGGGTTGGCAAAAACCCAGATTTTCAAAAAATTATATTCGGTTTTTGTGATAGATTTTGTAAAGGAAATCTGATGAGATCTATGGAAGAAGTGAGGGATATCTTGAGAAATCTGAGGGTAATCTTACAGGAGATTTAAAAAAATCTAAAAAAATCTTGGGAGGATTCCCTAGATATCTGTTGCATAAAGATATCTCTTCTACACTTGAATATGTTGTGACGAATCCCTCACTGTGTACTGTGTATAAACCAAAAAACAGAACTAAAACTGTGATAGTTGCCTAACCAAATACAATTTATTTTATTTTAAAAAACCACCTACTGCTGTTAACAGGTCTGTTTCTGCAGAAATCACAAACCAGTCAGAGTTAATTTCATTGGCTGAAAACAGTCAGAAAACTAGTTTCAACCAATGAAATTCACTCTGACTGGTTTGCGATTTCTGCAGAAACAGACCTACTAATAATAAAGGATACATACATTTGATAAATAAAAAGATGATAAGAATATTAAAAAAATTTAATTATATAATAATTGTGCTCACCTCTTTTTCTGGTCTTGATGCGTTGACCGGATAAAACTGGTTTTTCTACCTTCTGACTCATACAAAAATTTCTGGAAAACAAAAAACAAGTTAAAATAAAAATATAGTCATATTGAAATTCTAGTGTTAATAGACCAATGCAATAGATCAACATGATGAGTAGATAATCAAAATATAGTTTTGTGGTAAATTAACAGGAAACATTTTATGAAAAAATGACCAAGACAAAGCAAATAATTGCAAGGGTAGGCCCTGGAAATTACCAAATTTTAATGGAATTAGGGTTCCTTATTATAAATTGTGTAGCTTTTAGTTGCAAGCCTAGGTCAATGATATTTAATGAGAAAAAACTTCATGTTTCCAAGTAAATTAACCCTCTAAACTCCTAAAATGTACCGGTTCGGATTTTGCGATGTGGCATTGTATAAGCCCACTAATAATATGAAACTTTTACATATTAATGAAACATTGCAATATAAATCTAGACAATTCATTTAATATTCTACTGAATCAGATGTTCCCATTTTACAAAGCAAAATGAAAGCCTGCACATTGCAAGGTCAAAATTTCAATAAACCGGGATTTTGTAAGATCCAGGGGCAAAAGTCTCTTTTACCTCTGTAAAAATAACGGAATAAAAACAGGTCAACGACTGAAAAGGAAGGATGGTGAATTTTGCCATGCAACCTTTGGACGTTTTTTAATTACGATTCGGCTATAATTAGAAAGGGGCTTTTAGAATCGAACCGAAATAATAAATTTTTACAATAAAAGCATGATTATATGGCCCACCATTTTTACAATATTCCATCGAGTATTGTGATGTTATAAAGCATCTCCTTTGAATAAATAATTCATTAAAACACGTGACAATTAATTAAAAACCAATAACCAATTAAAAAATAGCTAATTAATTGAATTTTAACTTACATTTTTACTGTTTTACAAAAAGCACCTCACTAGTCACAAAGAATTTTTTTTCAAATGTGTGTGGGATGTCGTGGGGTCGCCTTCTCAAAAAGTAACTAGGAATGGAATGTTTCGCTCCTTGTCTGCAGCGTTGCAACTATACGGGAAAAAGGACGATCGATAACGAATCGACAGGCGGGAAATTCGAATTATTTTCACACAAAAATAAGCACTTTGATGAATTTCACAGAGAGACTAAAAAAAAAAATTAATTATTCGTAAGAAAAAGAAACGTCACAATATTTTAATTAATTAAACAAATAATTATTTGACGTTTGCACGAGGTGACTTTGATTTTTTTATACCTTTTTGATTTTTTTTGTAATTGGATTTTTAATTGTTGCTTATTTTATTAATTATTTTCGAATACCAAGTTTTGAAAACAATAATCAGTAAAATTGTTAATTAATATTCTGCTAATTTTCTAGCACGTGGCTTGAAATTATTGAGAAAGTTGATTTGCCAACGTTGTACTGAGGTAGGCAACCATGTCATTCAATTCGGGTTCTGCTGTTCTCTGTTCACTACACAAAAAAAAAACTGCATCCATTCCAACCAACTCCGTGTTGAATATGGATCAACCAACCGATCAACGATCAACTAGAGCAAGTAGAGTCGAGCCCTTTGACCGTTCGAGTATTTTTTCTGCTCCAAAAGATCCGAGTCGTTCGACGCTTTGATTACTCTAGAACACAGAGTGAGCAATAGGGCAATCCAAACAAAATGGCGGTCAATGCCAAAAAATTGGCGCCATTGTAGTCCAAACAACCGTGACATTTTTCATCAAAAAACTGTTTTTTGTGTATTATGTGGTGTTTTAAGATGATTTTCTAGTGCTTTGAAGGATAATGTTTGCAAAATTTATGATTTCTTTCTACCTAGTAAATGGCTTGGATCCACACCGTTTATGTAGACTTTTTGGTTTTTTAATATGGATTTCGTCAGATTTTTTCTCTTTTGCTACAATCCATGAAACCCTTACAAACTACAGACAAACATTTTTCTCCGTTAAAAACCTGTGTTTTGTTTGTGCAGGAACGGCATGAAACGAGACTTTCTCGCGATTAGAACGCCCCCCACAAACTTAAATACAATACATAACGTATGCGTTTTCCAAAAAACACTTCACAGACTTTATACAAATCAAAAATCGCAATAAGACGGCATTTTTGTAAAATTAAAAGGCCTTGGCCTCCATTTAGAATTTCTTTTTGACAAGTCATTGGATTGCCCTATGCCAACGTTTGTTTTTTTTTTAAAGATAATTCCCCAAGTCAAAAATTTAGTAACTCTGTTGGCAAGACAAGCCTTTCTTAAGGCCGTTTTACAGCTTGCAATTTCATCTGCAATATGCTATGCAAGAAACTTGAACGAAGGCATGCGCAGAAGTGAGTCAGCTGATAATTGTTTTCTGCAAGATTCTTGAAACTTTTGCATGCAATCGGTTTGGTGCCATTTTTCTTGAAGTTTTTCGCGCAAGCTGGGGAATTTTCAGCAATTATGATGATTAAAGTGGCTGCTAAATATTGCTTTCTTCTTTTAAAGGCCGTTTTACAGCTTGCAATTCTATCTGCAATATGCAAGAAACTTGAACGAGGGCATGCGCAGAAGTGAGTCAGCTGATTGGTTTCTGCAAGATTCTTGAAACTTGAATGGCATTGCATGCAATCGGTTTGGTGCCATTTTTCTTGAGGGTTTTCGTGCAAGCTGGGGAATATTTAACAATTATGATGCTTAAAGTTGCTGCTATTGCTTTCTTCTTTTTATATACAGGGTGTATATTTTAAGTGATACCACTATTGCTATATCCGAAACGGTAAGAGCTACAGGGTCGGTTAAATTAGAAAAAAGTTGCCTTGTTTGATGCCCATTTAAGACTCGTTTACAGTGTTGCCAAATTTCTTTTAGTTTATGAAATACAGGGTGATTTCTAAGAAACGTCCAAAAATATTTCATCATTTATTTCGAAAACCATTGATTTTTGAGACACAATTTAAATTTGAACGTTTTATAATTTTTTTCGCTCTTTAAATTTTAAATCCGACGTTTCGTGATCGAGATACCATCCTCAACTTAATTTTTTTAAATACGGACCTGGATGTTTTATGTCATTTTTAGGAAACGTCCTTAATTCTCTTTCCAAAAATGACATAAAAAATCCAGGTCCGTATTTAAAAAAATGAAGTTGATGATCGTATCTCGATCACGAAACGTCGGATTAAAAATTTGAAGATGCCATGTTGTAAAGCGAAAAAAATCATAAAACTCTCAAATTTAAATTGTGTCCCGAATATCAATAGTTTTCAAAATAATTGACAAAATAATTTTAGGCCTTTTTTATAAATCGCCCTGTATTTCATAAACTAAAAGGACTTTGGCAACACGGTAAACAAGTCTTGAATGAGCATCAAAAAAGGCAACTTTTTTCTAATTTAACCGACCTTGTAGCTCTTACCGTTTCGGATATAGCCATAGTGGTATCACTTAAAATATACACCCTGTATATCGACTTATAAACACTTTTTTTATTTTTGGAAAATGCAAATATCAACAACACAAAATTAAAAACAGAAAAGTATGGTTAAGGATAGAGAAGGAAAAAAGTCAAATTGCAAGGTGTAAAACGACATGCAAGAAATCTTGAATGCAATTTTTTTGCATGCAAAAAATTGCATTCAAGTTTTCTTGCAAGCTGTAAAACGGCCTACATAAAAAAATTGAAAGTATTGACAATTTTACATTGTGAGTTCCTTTCACGTGGTTCCGGTTTAACTAACCGGGTTACAAAACGGTTAGAGAAATGATATACCGTTTTCTAACCCGGTTACAAAGTGACGTGATGGATACCTACCAGCCTACCACTCGAATTTGAGCGGTATGTTGCGGTTTGTTAAACCGGAGCCAAGTGAAAACGGTTATTGTGTTGCCCTTAGGAGTGCGTTCGCCCAAATTACCCCACTCAGGGGCGAGTTCAGGAATGACACACCAGTGTGAGTGTGACACCGGTGCGACGCACTAGCCGTTTATAAATTCTATAGACACACCGAGTGCACGCACTCTGTTCCGTTCAGAAAGTACTTCGGGCGCGCTCCAGCTGTCGCAACGGTCACACCATAATTTTTTGGTGTGGCTGCGGTGTGGTTGTGTGTTTATGCCTATGTTCCGATATCAACTGTCAGTACTGCATTTACTGGACGCCGTTCCGATATTATCTTCAGTATACTGGATTCAGTCGATTCAGTACTGAATGACCACAAGAGTACGTTGTTGAAATCGGAACGGCGAATGACAGTAAAATCAGCACAGTAAATCCAGGTGGGGGATTCTCCCGTAGAAAGGCAATGGGATAGTCGGGACGATAGGTTGCGACTAGAGGATGAGAATCCGCCTCCAGTACTGGCAGTTGAAGTTGTCGCCTAAGAATTGTTATTTCAGTCACACCCATAAAATCGCACTCACACCTGAGCCGCTTTCCAGTATGAGAGTTTGACGCCCGGAGCTACTCGGGGCGTTGAGCCCCCGAGCTGTACGTACGCGTCAACCGGTCAGCTGTCACATCCATGGGTGGCTATTTATCTATTTATTTCTTGTTATATCGCAAGATTGAACATTTTAAAAAATATAGTTTTGATTCTCTTTCATTTTTGATAAATAAAAAAACAAACTGCACAAACAAAAAAATAATTATTTTTATTTACGACTAATGTATAATGTGCGTATTAAATTTGTGATTTTGGCAGTATAATGACATATGTTATTCCTCCAGGGATTAATGACGAGTAGCGGGATTAATGGTCATTATTCCACAAAAGTGTCATTGTCAAACCTGTAGTGCTTGTAGATTTGTATTGAAAATTATGAGACGGATAAAATTTGTTCATTGAAAATCTGAAATAAATTAATTTGTCGTAAATAAAGTAGAGTATACTACTCGCAATAATGGCTATTATTCCCTCGGAATGTTACTCCCTCGCCGCTAACGCGGCTCAGTTCGTAATAATCCTCGGGAATAATAGCTATCATTATTGACTCGTGGTATAATCTACTATTAAAATTTGACATATTTGACACTAAGCCAGGCGTCTCACGCCATGATACTGGAACGGTACAAATTTATGGCGTTTCCGATTCGTAGATCTAGTGCGGAACTAGTGCAATTTTTTCTATTTCTGTCTTTTTCTTCTACAGGTCGATTGAAAGGATGCAAATACACTCAGTGCGCACTGAACCTACCAATCGAAAACGCCATTAGTGCGTGGCACCCCTGAGGTGCTCTAGAGCGCGCCAATGTGGCTGACAAACAACTGACTGACCTTCACACTCCATTTCTAAACGCACTCCTGGTGTTGCCAACATTGGCATTTTGACTTTTATTTAAAAAAAAAAAACAGACTTCAAATTTTTGACCTGGGGATAGTCTATGCCTGGGGAATTATCTTTAAAAAAAAACAGACTTTATGTAGAATGAATAGGACTTTTAAGTTTTGGAATGAGCTCTATTTAAACTCGATTCCTATCTGAACGCGGTTACTCTATTCATTCGAACAGTGGGAGTGTAGTACGGAGTTCTTAGAGTAGAGGGAGTAAAGAAACGGAACTCAACTAACCTGTCCTAACCTACAAAAAAAATTCATTCATAAATTTTTTTTTTATGAATGGCCAAAACTAAAAACGTAAACAACAACAATTTTTAATATTTTTAATTTAAATAATAATTAATATTTAATAATGTCATTAACAGGTGTACAGTGTGATATCTTATTAGAGTAAGTAGTAATGTTTACCACCTTAAACTACAACCAATAGAGAAAATTATTAGTATTTTAGATAAGAACAATGTCAAAACGCAAACTCTAGAAGCCCTGGCCAAGGATATTTGTAAGAAATTCGATATTTCAGACTATTTCAAAGGTAAATTCAGCATTTAATGTTTACTTGAATTAATAAAATCCAATATGATATTCGTGCTGGGTATAATTATTCATTTACAGTAACGTGCACAGAATGTAACGCGACTCAGAAACAAAAGTCACGTTCAAAGTTCCACTTACGGCTATTTGCACCGCTGTAACTTAAGGAATATTTATTCTAAGTGGAGCTTTGAATGTGACTCTTGTAGAAACAAAAGTCACATTCAAAGCTCCACTTAGATTAAATATTCCTTAAGTGATAGTGCTGCAAATAGCCATAATTAGCTTAAATACCCCTTAAGTTATAGCCGTGCAAATAGGCATAAATTATGAAACTAGAATTAAATTGTTATGATGGCATTCTACAGGGTGATCTATTATAAATGTCACCCCCTTTTAACTTTTTCATTTGACATTTTTGACAAAAGTTTCAAGAAATTGTCAAAAGTTTTCAAATTATGGCGTTTCCGATCAGTGTGGAACTAGTGCAATTTTTTCCATTTCTGTTTTTTTCTTCTACAGGACGATTAAAAGGATGCAAATACACTCAGTGCGCATTGCATCTACCAATTGGAAACGCCATTAGTCAGTTTTAGGCATACAGGGTGCGTCAAAAAAGTGCAGCAGTGTGAAGATATTTTTTTTTAAATGGAACACTCTAAAGTCTGTTTTTTTTTAAAGATAATTCCCCAAGTCAAAAATTTAGTAACTATGATGGCAACACAAGCCTTTTCTACATAAAAAATTGGAAAGCATTGACAATTTTACATTGTATTGCCAACATAATGTCATTTTGACTTTTATCTTTAAAAAAAAACAGACTTTATGTATTGTGTGCTTATTTGTTAGTCTCTTTCAACCTGATTTCGATATACGGTTTGATATGTCTATCTTCAATAGTTATAGTGAAAAGCATGAAAAGCCCTTTCAAGATTTCACTTTGAAAAATGAAAAATTATACCATTTAAGCTTTAGAGAATTTTTTTTTCATAAACAGTTTATTCTTCAAATTTTATTCATTAATAATAAATAAATAAATAAATGGTATACCAAATAAATAAATAAATAAATAACTTTATTTAGCACTTGGCTAGTAAAAAATACAAATACATATATATTTTCAAAATTTAAATAAATAAAGTTAATCGCTAAGATGAGCTAATAAATTTCTATTAAATATCCTCAAAGTAGGTGCGTTTTTAATACTATCAGGAAGTGCATTAAAACAGCGGACTCCATCATAAAAAAGTGTTTTTTGTAGGGAAGTTGATTTTACGTACTGAACATTGTAATTTTGCCTAGATCTAACATTATATCCATGACAATCAACTCTTTTTTCTAGGTATAATTTCAAATAATTAGGCACTAAATTATTTTCAATTTTATAAATTAAAACTAGATTCGCTCTTTTTATCCATTGCCCAACTCTCAACCACTTCAATTCCCGCAACATATAATCCACAGGTGTGTACCTATTACCTTCTAACAAAATTCGCATGACTTTATTCTGCTGGATTTGCAACCTACTTATCTCTTCCTGTTTACATGATATTAACAATGATGTGCAATAATTAAAATGAGGCAAAATAATTGTTTTATATATTAACATTTTTGTCTACTGAGAAACATGAGAAGATACCCGACAGAAAAATCCAATCTTTTTGCCCAGTTTCTTGCATAAATGGTCAACATGTAACGAAAAACTCAACTGTGGGTCCAAAATTACACCTAGATATTTTATTTCTGTTACAAACGTGATTGGAGCATTATCTATGTATAGGGATAAGTTTAAGTCATTGAATGATTTACAGTTTGCCTTTGAACCAATTACCATACAGTTTGTTTTAGATGTATTCAATTTCAATTTGTTCTGACATAACCAATCATACAAAACACTGAGCTCATCATTAAGAACATTAACAATTTCGTGGTAGTCCTTTCCAGAAACAGAAATCAGTGTATCGTCTGCGAATAAACTTACAAAAGATTTTTTCATTGCCTTATAAATGTCATTAATATAGATTATAAACAAGAGCGGACCTAGAACACTGCCCTGCGGGACACCCAATTTACTGGAAATTTTGCTGGACACCTCATTATTTATTTTTGTTTTTTGATACCTGTCATTTAAGTAGTCACTGATCCATCTTAGGACGTTCCCTCCTATGCCATATGCAGCTAATTTTTTCAACAAAATGCTACGGTCTATTGTCTCAAAAGCGCGCTTCAGGTCCACGAAAACACCAACCACTATATCCCCTTCATTGAGGTTTCTCCTCCACTCTGCACATATGTATTGGACGGCCGATTCACACGAGTGATGACCTCGAAATCCAGACTGCCTCACGTAAAGTAACTGATTTTCTTCAAAATACTGTCTAATTTGATTACTCACTATAGTCTCGATAATTTTGTCAATTGCTGGTAGGAGATTGATTGGCCTAAAATCCGAAGCGTCCTCCGGTTTATTTACCTTTGGAATTGGCACAACAAGACTAAGCTTTAAGTCACTTGGTAATTTTCCCATCCTCAAAGACATGTTTATCAGATGCAAAAGAGGATAGCCTATCACTCCAAACAACTGTTTTATCAATTTAATGCTCAGAATATCATCACTAGTGCTTTTATTTTTAAGGCCATACACTATCTTTGTGAGTTGTGATAAATTGACTGTTTTGAAGCTCAGAATCTGAGCTCTAGTAAAAGATATATCAGTGTCCTTCCATTCTTTGAATTCAATACTGTCACAAACTTCACTGATGCTGTGCACAAAAAAATTATTAAAATTGTCTGCAATCTTGCCTGTATATTGCCCAAAGTTGATCTCATTAAAGTCAACGCTCAAACTTTTTGTCCCAATCAATTGTTTCAGGGTATTCTACATTTTTTTACTGTCATTTTTGCAGTTGTCTATGCTTTGATCATAATATATTCTTTTTTGGTTACGAATCATCGACACCACAGTATTTCTGGTTGCTTTGTAATCTGCCCAATCAGTTTCTTCTCTAGTAAAACAAAACTTTCTGTAGGCGTTATTCCTTTTATGCTGTGCTTCTTTAATACCAACCGTTACCCAAGGAGTTTTACGTATAGTTCTAGCCTTTAGGGGAGCTGTCTTATCCAAGGCCTCCTGGATATTCCGTATAAAATCCACATATAGAACGTCCACGTCAACATAATTATAGTTCCATTCTTTCCCAATCAGGTCTACAGTTATATCAGAAATATTCTGGTCATTAAGATTTCTACTATAAAACGTTTGAGGTCTGTGTATTTCATGAGGAAGCGGTACCATAACACCAATGATTTCATGATCACTCATTATCGGAAAATCTCTGGGTAATTCTGTAGCATTAAAATCATTTGTGATTATGTAATCTATCAATGAAGCCGATATATTGGTGACTCGTGTTTCCTTTGTAGTAAGTTGTTTAAAGCCAGATTCACATATGATTGCTTTGACCTTTTTTGCATCACTGTCATTTTTCAACCAGTCTATGTTGACATCTCCCATAAGCACTGTCTTCTGTTTTTGGAAAATATCCTCGCTAAGTATTTCTTCCAAATACGTTAGAAAAGTTCTACTTGTGCAATTTGGTGACCTGTAGAATGCTCCAACCATAATGCTCTGCTTCCGAATCTGAACTTTCGCTATCAACATCCAATAATTATAATCAACTGCATTGTTTCGAACTACCACACCATTTGCACCATTCTGAACATAAATGATTGTTCCTCCTGTATGCCTACTATTGGAATGACAAGCGAGTGCACTGTAGCCTTCAATTTGAATTTCAGTGCTCTCTATATCTGATGTTACGTGCGTCTCAGATACACAACAAACTACAGGCTTTCTCTCCTCAATGAACTGACATAGTTCTTCCAAATGTGAAGTGATACCCTGAATATTAACATGAACAATACAAATACTTGGCAGTTCTCTTGGTTCCGTTTTGTTTTTTGGTTGCTAGTATTGTGTTTTTGATTTTAACCTTTCCACGGCCTTCTGATATGAAACACATTCTTTGTCGAATACAGTATGATCAAATTTTATGACCTTGATTTTTAGGACATCATGGGCATATTTGCAATTTGTACATTCTGTTGTTTCTGAATTGCATTCATCGCTTTTATGATTTACAAGGTGAAATATTATAATAAATCCAGATGTCTAAGGTTATTATTATTATTTGAAAAAAAATAACATGAGACACCTAGGAAGGGATTTTCGCATTTTTCCCATTACTCTTGGAGATAAACCAAGAGATAAACATAATATCAAACCCTATATCGTTGAAATCAGGTTGAACGGGACTGACAAATAAGCGCACAATATTCAGGTTATTCCATTTAAAAAATATAACTTCACACTGCTGCGCTTTTTTGACGCACCCTGTATGCCTAAAACTGGGTTAGTTGAAAACTTATGACAATTTCTTAAAACTTTTATATTTGACACCTCTATCCAAAACGTCAAATGAAAAAGTTAGCAGGGGGTGACATTTATAATAGATCACCCTGTACACATTTTTCAATAATTGTAATTAACAAAATATCAGTTGTAATAGTTTTTAAATGTACTTCAGAAAATCCCATCTATAATCGAGAAAATCTCAACTGAAATTCAGAAAACCCCCAGTAATGTTATTCAGCAAATCGCTATTATAATTCAGAAAATTTGGTAAGTTTGAAATATGTGTATAGAATATATAATTAAACATCCTTTTGTTCACACTCCAGTAACCCTGTAACTTACATACATATCTATAGGTTTCTGCTCATATTTATAACAGTACTTATAGGTTTTATATCAAGTACACAGGGTATCAAGTTATAAAGTACCACCCCCTGTAACTTTTTTTATTTTTGATTGTACAGGGTGGGCCAATTTGGACACTTTCTTATGGAAACACCCTTTATTTTTGTAGATAGAAAAAAATGAACCCCCCACTCTGAGGCTCGAATTTCATGAAATTTTGATTGGTGCAAACCGCATTTTGATATCTTCAACCGTTTAGCCGCTAGAGGGCGATTCCCGATTTTGAACAATAATGTGAAACCATCATAACTTTTTTGTTTATGGAAATTATTGATTTCCGTAGAAACTTTCTTGAGGGACTTTTTCAAGCAGAATTCAGTGACGTTCTCAGTTTTTTTCTAGTTGGTCTCAACATCGAGATATTGACCAAAGTCTGGTTTTTTTCAATAGGACACCCTATATATTAATAGCTCATTAGAAAGCTCTGCTTTTTCCGATTTCAATTATATAAAATTCGATAGGTTTATCTCTAACAGTTTTCGAGAAAAAAAAATATTTCGGGTTTTGTCATAAGAAACAATGTGTTGGAAAGAGACCCTTCTCAGTTTCCTTACAGATATAAAGTCCTTTTCTTACACATTGCTTCTTATGAAAAAAACCGAAATAATTTTTTTTCTCGAAAACTGTTAGAGATAAACCTATCGAACTTTATATCATCGAAATCAGAAAAAGCAGAGCTTTCTAATGAGCTATTAATATATAGGTTGTCCTATTGAAAAAACCCAGACTTTGGTCAATATCTCAGCGTTGGGACCAACTAGAAAAAAACTGAGAGCCTCGCTGAATTCTGCTTGAAAAAGTGCTTCAAGAAAGTTTTTACGGATATCAATAATTTTCATAAACAAAAAAGTTATGATGGTTTCACATTATTGCTCAAAATCGAGAATCGCCCTCTAGCGGCTAAACGGTTGAAGATATCAAAATGCGGTTTGCACCAATCAAAATTTCATGAAATTTGAGCCTCAGAGTGGGGGGTTCATTTTTTTTTATCTCTAAAAATAAAGGGTGTTCCATAAGAAAGTGTCCAAATTGGCCCACCCTGTACATAAAAAAGTTACAGGGGGTGGTACTTTGCTGAGAACCAGAGCGGATCATCCCACAAAATATTGTAACAAAAATGAATTACAAATGAAATTTTCTGAATTAGTTACATTTGAAAAATCTGAATTACAATTAATAAAGGTTCTCTGAAATATATTTGTGTTTTTCTGAATTACAATTGGAAGATATGTAATTTATACTAAAAACTTGTAATAGGTACTTTTAGTAATCATAACATCTTGAAACTCCCAGGATTTATTACTTTCATTGAGAAAAATAAATTTTAAGTAAATCTTAGGCTCAGAATTAGAAAAAATGAATTTTTTTTCCAAGTTTGCACCAAAAATTCTTTGAAAATGTCTCTTATATCCTCTTTGAGGACCTCTGAAAAATACTTTCAGTAGTCACAGCAATTTGAAATTTTCAGGATTTAAGTATTTTCATTGACCAAAATAAATTTTGAGAAAATCTGAGACTCAGAAATAGAGTAATGATTTTTTTTCCAAGTCTACATCAAAAATTCTTTGAAAATCTCACTTAAATCCTCTTTGAAGGCCTCTGAAAAATACTTTCAGTAATCACAGCAATATGAAACTTCCAGAATTCATTAATTAGGGTATTTTCATTGAGTAAAATAAATTTTGAGTAAATCTGAGGCTCAGAAAAAGAATAATGTTTTTTCCAAGTTTACACCAGAAATTCTTTAATGTCTCTTTAATCCGAGGGGTCAAGCACTCACGAAATAACGTAGAATGATTTCCAGTTTCTAGGAATACTTTTCAAATTTGGACAGTATTTCCAAGTAAGGTCAACTTGGTTAACTAACACAGCGAGGTAACTGGTCCATATGCCAGTTTTTGGCTTATTATTGAAATTTGAATTTCCCACGCTTGAAAATTTGCTACAAGTAGTGTGTCTCATCCATACCCTGCATGTAGTAGAAAGAACGACACTGAATTAGTTTCTGAAAAAAACATTAAAATTTGTAACTTTTACAGAGGGTATCATAACAACAAGTGACTGAAGTTTCGATTTCAATGAATGGTTAATGAGTGATTACAGTTAATAATATTGCATTGAGCATGTTCAACCGTAAGAGAAAGATGTTGTGAAGGTAACCTCAGCTTAGAATTTCAAGTAATGGAAACCTAAGTTGGGTTCCAGTTGCCCCAGTAAAAATACATATAGACGCAACTGAAATGTATATGATGTGGCCAACTGGAACATATGTTCCGTTCCACCTGAAAATACCAATGTATTACATATTCTCTATTGTCCTAGAGTAAATATGGTCAGGAATTATATTCGTAGAACCTTCAAAAGTGCGACACCAAGTTGGCCCTGAAAAAACCAATTGGAGTTGTCCGAAACGCTAAGAAAACAATATACGGTGCTGTGGTTTTCTATGACATCCCATGATCCGCAATAAGACTTTCTATTTGGAACAAGAGGGAAAAGTATATTATCGGTGATATATGAATGAAGTAGAAGAAGAACTGTCAACCATGCAGAAATGAAGATACGGATTACTTACAAAGAAAATAGGTTTATTATTTTATTTTTTGTTCATTTTACCATTTTTATTAAACGTTATCGTTATCTATTTACCACTAAGTAATACTTTTGTTGCATCTCCTGTAATTCCCATGCAAATCAGTTCAATCTTTACATATACGTTACAATATGTTCAAGTTGCCTCCGCACCAGTATATTCTCAAGGATTTCCAAGTATTCTTAGGTATTTCCAGAGTATTACCAAGTATTCCTAGGTATTGCCCAAGTATTCCCAGCAAAGTGTACAGTGATTTTCTTGAGTGATTTACCCCTCACTTAAATCCTATTTGAGGGCCTCTGCAAAATACTTTCAATAATCACAGCAATTTGAAACTCAGGATTTATTAATTAAGGTATTTTCATTGAGCAAAATAAATTTGATGAACGTGCCAAAAAAAAAAACCTCATTTTATTACAGTGGGTACTTGCATTGTTATGCTACTACAAAACGACTTCCTACCAGACTCTGAACAAAGATTAGCTGCCATCACCTTATTGTACGAATTATACAGGGGTGAACCTCTAGCCAATACCCCTTTTGCTAGTGTTTTTATTCATCTTTTGGTAAGTTATTTTATGTCCCAAATAAATCAATTTTTCAAACATCAATCTTTTAGTATCCTCCTGAGCAACACAGTACCGTAGGAGTACCATTATTAGAATACCCTGGACAACTACCAAGATTATCAAATGCTGAAAAGTATTTTGTAGTGCAACTGATGTCAGAGGTTGCAAAAGATGTTGTAAGTTGGAATAAACTACAAACAAAATACAATAATTTATATTAATTTGTAGCTACTCAAGAAAACAGCTTCACAAATTATAAATTCAGACTTTCCTACGCTGACCAATATGGATTTTAGTGCCCTCCAGTTGGCACTGGCCGAAAAACAATCCGAGCTTCCACAAATTAGTAAAAGTGGAATACCAGTTATTTTGTCTTTGCCTGATAAGACACCTCATTCTAAGTAAAAAACATTTATGTAATTATTATGGAGCTTATTTTGATTACATTATTGTAGCGAACCTGATGAAAACTCTACGAGAGATGTAATTAAAAAATTAGCCACAGGCGACAATGCACCAATGAACAGAATATACAAGCCTGAATTTGTAATGTTAGCACCTCCACTGTTAAATGCACAAGATGAGGTACCTACTTAAAACATTCATTTTAAATATAATATTCAAATACAAAATTTTTCAGCCAACTTGGTTAAATCCAACCACTCCAAAGGAACATTTGGTTTGTTACGATACTGCAATGTGCCTGCCAGATATTGCCAGCTATGAGGCCAGGCAATTGATGAACAAAGCTGCGAAAACTGCGCTGTCCATACCACAACAGCAACAATTACTTGGCGAATTGGAAAAAGAACCTAAACTGGTTTATCATGTTGGATTGACGCCTTCTAAGGTAGAATTTTTTGGTTTGGAATTGACTCCTTGTGAAAATCATTGTAGCTTCCAGATTTGGTTGAAAACAATCCATTGATTGCAATTGAAATTCTATTAAAACTGATGCAATCTAAACAAATAACCGAGTATTTTAAAGTTTTGGTTAATATGGAGATGTCTTTACATAGTATGGAGGTTGTTAATAGGTGAGATTGATTAGTTTTCCAATTTCTATAAATCAATGAATTATGTTTTCCAGATTAACTACCTCAGTTGACTTGCCAACAGCTTTTGTCCACCTCTACATTTCAAATTGTATCAACACCTGTGAAACAATCAAAGACAAGTATATGCAAAATAGACTAGTGAGGCTAGTGTGCGTTTTTTTGCAGTCTTTAATCAGGAATAAAATTATAAATGTACAAGTGAGAGGGTCTTTGGTTTATATAAAAGTGTCCTTTTTCTATTGTTATTTTTTTTTTTTAGGAGTTATTTATTGAAGTTCAGGCGTTCTGTATTGAATTTAGCAGAATCCGAGAGGCGGCAGCCCTGTTTCGCTTGCTCAAACAACTGGAGAATGGAGAGTTGGGTGCCTTATGATCACCCAATTTGATTTTTTTTTTGTATAAAATGTAAGTTTGATTTTCTAATAAATTATACCTAAATAGTTAGTGTCTATCAATTAAACTCACAATACTTTTATTTATAAAATTTAATTCAACATTATAATCTTTTCATCACTGGTTAAAATATAAACTTTTACTATTAATTTGTTATAACAATAATTTACAATATAAATCAAACATATTGCACTAAATTTGATGGATAAAAATTGAATGTACAAAAAGTTTAATAATTAAAAAATATATTAACTTACAGACTAATCTTATCACATTTTTATTAATTTTTTTTTTCTTAAGAGACTGTCAACTAACTAAATAAGGAAATCATTTTTTTTCAGGTAACTGTCAATAATTATAGATGGTTTATAGTTTCATCAAACAACTTCAAATAAAGCTTAAAGGTAAAACGTTTGGGCCACTGGCAAAGAAGAGTGAAAACTGGTATAAAATTCAAAAAGAAAAATCGAAATTCCTCCACCAACTAATTTGTGAAAATATTCTACCCTCCTAAAACAAACCACAAAAGTATCAATCATGAAGTCCCGTATTTTCCATTTTCAAATACACCTTTCTTGAAGAAAGGAGAGAAATTTATTAAAGCAGTTTTCGTGATTGGACCTCCATAGGCCAACGGACAACTTGGCAAAGTTTTACAACTGTCTATCAACCTTCTAAGATAGAATTCGAGTTGTTTCCTTCTAGATTCTGCCACAGATTCTGTATTGGCAAATAGGGTTTTAGACGGGAATGGTATAGAACCAACCTGAAAAGAGTTATTTTAGTTGATAATTATGGGTTTATTATAATAATTGCTTACCTTATCTTTATAGCGGGCTTTCATAGCAATGTGCAAATCTCTAAATCTGCTGTATCGTCTTAATATTGTCCATCTGTCGTCTATGGTACTTATTCTTACCTCATATTCGTAATGTGTTTTGGTGCCAGCACCTCTTAGGCAATAACTGGTTATGCTGATTATAGAGTCACAATCAGATTCTGAAAAAAAAGAATTTTGATGTTTAATTGATGTGAATTTTTAGTATTTTTTGCTCCAAAGACTCAAAAGTAGTTTTAGAAAATTTTCTGTCTTTGGCTTTTGTGGTTTTTGAGTAAATAATTGAGATATGGAGGATTGTCATGCTTTGCCTCAGGAAAAAAGTGAGTATTTTTGAATATATTGTAACTTTGTTGTTTTCCAGTCAATCTCACTGAGTTTTCAGTCAAAAACTTCAAAATCTCATAAACTATCTCTGCCATTAGCTTTTAGAATATTTTTGGAAATTTCAATTATTATTACTGTTGTATCAATTATTATGCAACAATGCCAATTCTTACCAGTTGCTATAGAAGGCATCGACCTGTACAAGTACTGGTTATAAAGAGGAATTCTGTTGTGGGCCTAAAAAATAAATCAAGTTTATCAATGGAAATTTTTGTATAAGTTCTTACTTGAATAGGTGAGTATAAGGCACTAGTAGAACCGGTATGTAAGGGCTTAATGGGACTGGGACTATCCATGTTTTGCAAGGGATGCTCCAAGGCTGGAGATAAAATTGAGCTACAACCGTATTTCATTGCCATGTAATGTTTTTGTAGTTCTTGAAGGTTCTAGAAAGAAAAAAATGTAATTTTTATAGACTATAATCGATTGAGTTACCGCTATTTGTTTGTCCAAATTCTCTTTGGGCATATGGTTATCCAAATTCCTAACTATTGCATGTTTTTGTTGAGTGATTCTGTGCAACATACGCCTTAAGGCCTCAGCATCTCGGCGCCTGTATTTTTTACTTACTGGCGAGTGATTTTCAATTGAACTAGAAGACTGGGAGTCACTGACAAAGCCCTAAAATAGAAACAATAATAAATAGTTAAACAAATTAAGGTTTTGTACTTCATTGCTAGACAAATCATCGTAAAAGCTTTCTTCTTGATGGTTTTTGATTGGTTTCAGTTCTACGCCGCTGTCACTCATTAAAGGATCTAAAAAAGGGGCTGTGGGTGAACCGCAACTGTTGGGGGCTGTATGGTAAGTGTCGCTGCTTAAAGTAGTTACGTTATCAGGGCTTGAAAGTGGTTCAACTGAGTTGATTTTTTTTAGATTTAGGGTCAATCTGAAATTAATGATTTTAGGCTTTATATTTTACATACGCACAGTAAATTGAAAACCTACTCTAGTTTTCTCTGTTCAATACTTTGCAATTCCTGCTCGCTCCTTTTTGCCAATTCGTCTTTCAACGATTGTAAATCGTTTGCTGACGTGCTACTGTCAAAACTACTTTTTGAGCTATTTAAGGTTTCTTGATTATTAACTAATCCTATAAGTTTTTGGTCAATTTCTTCAACACTTTTTTGTCTCTCGCATAAGGTTTGTACTCTGCGATTTAGCTCAGCTTGTAGTTCAGCTAATTCTTTTCTCTAGAGAAAAAAAATAAATTGTATAACAAAAAATGATAATATAAAATTATAACTTACATGATGATTAACAAGTTTTTGTAAAACATCCGGTGCTCTTATAGTATTTAGGATTTCCACCAAACTATCGGATTCTGTATCTGACAGAGGCGTAATTTGTGATTTTGCAGCAAGTTCCTAAAAACAAAATAACCACAATTAGTTTTTCTACGATAAACTTCAATCCTAATCAAGAAGTGTCAATAGAAAATGGTTAGTGCGAGGGGTGAACCACTAGTGGAAATCATTGTCAATTTTTTTGGGAATCACATAGTAATCAATCAGGAATACATGGATATCACTTGGGAGTTCCTGGAAAAATAACCTAGGAATCACTAGAAATCTCCTAGGACTCCTTGGGAATAATATAGGAGTTCCATTGGCAATCGCTGCTCAATACAGCGTACCGGTCAGTTGTGTATTTGCCAAAATCAGCTAGAAATCGGATGATTGTAGGAAATCAGGTAATCAATTGGAAAAAAATGGAAATCACTTGCTAATCATAAAAAACTTTCTAAACATCATTGGCAATTAGTCACAATTCTTGGGATGGGAATACATGAGATACATTGATCAGTGATTGGCAAATATGGAAATTATTGTACATTTGTAAGCATAGTGGTTGACCCCTCAGGTTAGTATATTAACTCAAGCACCTAAAAAAAAAATTGATAATCTACAAAAATCAACTAAATCATTGTTAAAGCATGGGGTTAGTCAGAGGCAAAAAAACTCAAAAAAAAAAATACCTGAAACAAAACTTTGGATCGGGAATCAGGAAAAGTAATATCGTTAGCGTGTGCGCAAATTACTTTGCACACGTTGCCAAACTTGGACAAAAAATCGCTGCGCAACTGTTGCAACGCTTCACAGTCTCCATTAATCTACAGAGAAATTGAAAAATAGAAAAATAATCTAAAATGAAACTGTAAAATGTTTTGTTACCTCTCCTACAATTTTCAATCTATCCTTTTCCAATTCCTGCCTTTGGAATATCAAATCTTGCTCTTTCCTTTTCAGCTCCATTTCAGTTTCTCGTTGCTGTTCAGTCAAAACTAGCCAGTCTTCGTGTAATTGCCTTGTCTAAAAATTAAACAATATAATAATAATAATAATATTAAAATAAATTTGTTTGTACTTGTTCAGCATGTTCCTTTTGCACAATCTTCTTCTCACTTTCCAATTTAGCCTGCGCTTCTTCCAAACTCCTTTTCCTACGCTCAAACGCCTCCTTACTTTTTTCAAATTGCTCTTGTTCCTTCTCAAACTGTTCCTTTTCCTTTTCCAACGTCTGCCTTTGCAAGTCAATATCAAATTTATCATCATCCGCACTAAAAAATCAACAAACAATAAATCCAAATAATACAAATCAAAAAAACAATACATTTGCAAATTCTCCATTGACAAAGCCAAATCAGGTGTTGACCAACTAAGAATGCTCAATCTAGAAAGGTTGTGCGCCTTTTCGCCTTTACGTAGCTGAGCAGCTTCAGCAGGATCATTAAACCGAAAAACGTGCGCTTTTCCTAAAAATATTATGCAGCCCTGCGATAATTTCGCAGGCGATTCTAATATCTGATTATTTAACATCACATAAGCACCAGATTTCGGCGTTAAAGTAGCTCCACCGTTTAAAAACGTTATCGTACAATGTTCAGTCTCCATTCCAGCACCGCGTAGTTCAATGTCTTGCCTTATGTCTGAATCACCAGAACCAATTGTTGTTGTTCCTTCTTTTAAATGATAAAGTGTAACTCCAGTACTTAAAGGATCATCGTCAATAGCAACTAAATGTGGCCTGTCCGAATCCAAAACTACACCAGCACCAGATTTTCTCAATCCTAAAGCTGTTTGCTCTCGTAGAATGGCTTGAGCCTCTCTCCATTTTCCTGTCCATTCTTCTGTGAGCTCCTTTTCTCTAGTTTCCTTTTCGTGTATTTGCTGTGCCAACATATCGGATCGTTGTTCGCAGAACATTAGGCCCTTAAGCTTGCTGATTTCGTTACGCAACTCCCTGATAAGTTTAACATTAGGATCTTCATTAATTGTCGGTTTGTTGATGATGTTTTTAGCTCTATTCGCGTACCGCAGCGTACTTAGAGTCTCTCCATAGTTACAATCTGCTGGACTAATTGCCGCTATCATTATTGTCTTGGAATTTCCGCCCAGGCTGTCTTTTAGTAGCCAAGTAAGGACGGAGTCTCTGTACGGGATGAAAAAAGTTTTTCTTTGGCAGTTTTGGTCTTTTGAGTCTATCGTTGATATTTCTGCTAGGGCTGAGATTACTGAACCTAAAGTAACTAGGGATTTATTAATGTGAGCACCTTCTTTTAGTCTTTGGCCCGTTGCTCCTGTCGAATCTGCTCTTTCGCTGCCCGCAAGGTCTACAAGATGTATCTGGAAATTAAAAATGGATTTGACTGAAAGCGAATTTACATTTTTAAATTATATTTGATTAAGCAAAAATTATATTTGAAAAGTTACCTTTGAAACAGTTTCGCTAGGTACTCCATCACAATAACTAGCCTGAACAAAAGTAATAGTAAAAATTGCGTGACTCCTGCTACTGACATCGTTCATATTAGTAGAAGCTGTTGTCCTGTGAGAATTTCCTCTGTTCATGCAGTCCTGTATGTGGCCGTAATTGGTGACCCAACAAGTCGTCAGGCCTTGAACGTAGGGCCCTTTTTTCGGATGTTCGCGTACTTTTAGGTTGCCGCCTTCCTTGTCTCTTCTGTCCATCAGCAAATCCGCCACTCGTTCCTGGTAGATTTCCAGGTAACTGACTTGAACTCGGTGAGTTGTACCTCTTTTGCAATTCTCGGACATTCGGTCGAATAAGGCTTTGCATATTCTTGGGATCAAACCTTGGTTTTCCTAAACAAAAAAAGTATACATTTTGCTTTCAAATTGACATATTATATTAAAACTGAATGTTTCAAAAGCAAAGTTTTGGTGAAATAGAAAGATAAATTCTTACAGGTGATCCCATCATAGTGAAAGTTTTCCCGCTGCCGGTTTGTCCGTAAGCAAAAACGCAAGCATTGTACCCTTCGAAGGCACAATCGACCACTTCGGTGCCCAAGTCATTGTAAACTAGTTCTTGTGATGCAAAGTTGTCAAAGTTTTTGTTGTGCGACCAATAGGAATGGTCGAAAGTGAATTCTTTGTAGCGGATGTTTTCGTCTCTGGTGTTTGCCTGAAATGAAATTTGATTCTTGTATTGTGTGATATTGCTATTGTAGTCTAACTGAAGACAATGAAAATACAATTGACAAATTTAACTTTTTTAAATATGTTCAACTTTGCGGCTAAATTTCTCAGAAAGCATTCGAGCTATCAAACTCAATTTAGCACAGATTTATAAAGAATTTAATGCTCTTCTTAATGGTGTATAATTTATTTGATTTGCTCGAATTTTTATGAAAGTATTGTTGGTAATTTTTCTTAACCTTGTCAGGAGGATTTTTTAGAAAAATTGAGTTTTTCTTTTTTGATTTTTTGTTTGAAAGGGTCATTGGGAGAAGATATTAGATTGTTTTTTTGACTAGTTTAGACCTGCTCTATCGATTTAAAAAGTCAAAATTCGAAAAATATGTTTTAGTTTATTCGTCTATGTATTTATTAAGTACATACTTGTTATAAAATAATGAGTTTGTTTTGACAAAGACAAATTTATGAAGAAAACAATGTGTTTGACAAAGATGAGTATCTGCATACAAATTAAAATCAGTTGCGTATTTGCCTTTTGGACTTAGTTTTAGGCAACATGAGTGCTAGACAATTTGAAATTAATTTAATACCCCAACGATTTTGCCAATAACTGAACCTGAGACAACGAACAGTTTTAAACTTGAAGAAGAAGTAGAACGAGATGAAAATTTGGTCTGTTCTCACAGAAATCACAAACCAGCGTTTTTGATGGGTGCAAATCGCCAACAATCAGTTTTCTGACTTTTTTCAACCAATGAAATTCGCTCTGACTGGTTTGTGATTTCTATGAAGACAGACCTAAAGTATGACAATGTTGTAGATGATAAAAATGAAAACATGAATCTTGAAACATCAGTCGAATTCGACTTGCCAAAAAAAAAAACACAGCATTTCTTCACACATCCGGGTTTAACAATTGCTATTCGCTATAACATGGAGATTATTCAGGGCACAAGTTTAATTTGGTTCTTTTCAGAGAAGCAGGGACGTTTGTCGGTTGAGTATTAAGAGCTATGAAAATGTCCCTGAGGAAGATACAATAAGCACTGCGAGAGGCAGAGATGATAATACATCTGAATCAGAAATGATTTTGTCGAGTAAAACCCTAACTGAAGATGTCTCTGATTCAGATGAACATCCTAGTGAAATCAAAGAAATATCCATTATTTCAGATTTACCTATATTATGCAGTGTAGATACACAATGGTATCTAGGGCTCAACAACTATTTATACCTACAACAAAATTAGTGTGGGTGTGGACAACCATAAAAATAAAAGTTGGTAATTTTTGGAAGAGTTGCAAATACAGAAATTGCCAATTTTTCAGTGGAAACATGTGTTTTTATAAGATAAAATCAGCTGGAAATCGGATGATTGTAGGAAATCGGAAATAGATAGAAAGAATTGAAATCACCTGGTAATCATACAAAAATATCTGAAAACCATTGGAAATCAGTCGGAATCCTTTGAGGTCGGATTTCATGGGATGATTGTGATTGCCAGATATGGAAATATGGAAATCATTGTACATTTCTAAGCATAGTGATTGACCTCTCGCAAAGAACTGAATGAAAAATTGAAAACCGTATTTAAAAAAATTTGATCATGGTAGTCGAAATATGAAACGTCGGATTTCAAATTTGATAATGCCATAACGTAGAGGAGAAAAAGTGGCAATGATGAAGTGCCATTTATTTCCAAGTATCTCTTTAAATAAGCTACATTCTCACTCTGTATCTATTATAATTACTGAAATCCCTATATTTACTTAGGAATTTGTAACACCCTGTATAGGTATATAGTTAAATATCTTTATTTAAAATATTTATATCAAAATCACCTGCATGGATGAATATTCATAACTTGAAGATTTGTACTAAACACATGAATGATAAGTTTTTTCATGAAGAATTTACAATTTTAAATATTATATAAACCTCGATATAAATCAATATTCATTAAGCGCAATTATAATGTTGTTTTGTATTTTTATAAGAACGTGTATAACTACGCGTGTACAGGGTCTCCCAAATTCGAGAGTGACCATTGAGATATCGGAAACTATTAGAGATACGAGGTTGGTTAAATTATGGCAAAGTTGCGCAATTTTATAACCAATAAAATGCCGTTTTGAAATTTGAAAAATTCCGAATACTTCCGGAGATATTCGGAAAAACCGACACACTTGTTACATATATTGAAATAAGCAGATTTTCTTTATGAATCTTGTTGTTTAAAATATAAAATGACAATAGATTTGTACGTTCAAATTCAGATTGATTTGTGTTTTCTAGTACTTTTTACGACTACTTACTATTTTGTTTCAACATTTGAATGCTGTCTGCATAACTGAATGGAATAACAAGAAAAGTCTGCGCACAAGTCCGTCAGGACTTCAGCAGAAACATTCTTATTTATTTTCTTTCTGGTTTCTAATCACATAAGATAACTCTGAGTATTATTGTCTATATTATTTTTTTCATTTGAATTTTGGTAGGTATTTGTTATGTATGCATCTGTGTAATATATAAAAGAACAACTAACTGTATTCAAATTTAAAGTTTAGAATCTGTATCACTGAATGAGGGGAAGGGAGGATAACTCTGCACATAAGTCCTAGAGTAGGACTTCAGCAGAACACTTCTTTCTGTTTATTTGTGGAGCATAGGCTAGAAAGCCTAGAAATTTTACATCAAGGATAGGTACTTAATTATTTTGTTTTATTTGATTATACTTATTTAATTGTGCTTACTTATTAGGTAATTATTTTTGTAAGGAGGAATTGATTAAATATAATTATTTAAAATTGAAACTAAATCTCTTATGCTTGCATAATTTGTGGACAATGAACTCTACTTATTGCAAAAAGTGCAAGAGTCCGTGTATTCTCAAAGCCAGACCCGACAAAGGCGAGCATTTTGGAGCCCCATGCGACTTGTGCAAGGTAGTTCTTTGTCAGAACTGTTCTGAAATATGCACAACAGAAGCTCACGCTCTTGTCCTGGCTCAGTGAGTTTTGCTTTACTACTGCCGAGGTTGCAAGAATGCTGTAGAAGAATTGTCAAGAGATAAGAAAGTTTTGTCTGATAGACTGAAAAAAGCCGAATTATTATCTCAATCTAAAGACCTGAAGATTGAGGATCTTGAAAATAAAAAAGAAGCTACATGCGCTGATTTACAGAAAGAAGTGGAAGCATTGCTTGTTGAAATAAAGGAAAAAGACTCCCATTTAAAAATACAATGCAATACAATACAATACAAAAAGTTTATTCATGATATTCTACAATAGTTTTCCAAATTTAAATTATATACTCTTCACTCATACTCTTCAGAACATGCATAAACAAACTTGAAAACCCACAAAAGAAAACTTGTGCGTGGGTGTGCATCTGCCAATGCACCCTCAAAAGAGTCACAAATGAAAGCGAAAAAATAAATAAGTTAGGTACAACGATTATAATAAGGAACTTAATATAGAATGATTCACCTTAATTAAACTTTCTAAACTTCTACAGTTTTAGTGCAAAAGCAACTACAAACTACTTACAAAAGAATCCTAAACACAAAGGGATAATTTTTTATATTATGTAATAGCTGTTACCTGATCTAAGAATGACAAGATAGGATTTTAAATGTATTTTCTTGTAAAAAACTGATGATAAAATTTACAGGGTTTGATTGAATATCCATTCTTGAACCTTTTAAATACCTTAAATGAATTGATTTCTTTTATATTATTGGGAATGTTATTGAATACCTTTGGACAAAGATATGAAAGGCACCGTTGTCCAATACTTTTATTTGTTTTTGGCAATGGAAGAAGCTGACAGAACCGAGTTGCATAATTATGAGTTGGAAGACTAGAACTTCCTTCGCTATATTGAAGTATGGCTAATTGTTGAAAATATAACTGTCTAACAAACCAGTTTCGCGATACAAGTCGTCACTTGGATGCATGTACTGTTTTTTGTACATGGTTTTCAAGAGTCATTTTTGTGTAACCTCTAGCTTTATGTAAATGCTTTCCACAACACTTCCCCATGCAATTATTCCGTAACTTATGTGTGACTGTGCTAGTGCGTAGTACAATATTTTTAGTTGGTCGACTGAAAAAATTTCTCTGTAAAATTTAAATTTCGAAATGATACATCTAAGTTTCCTATTGAGATTGTTTATATGATGTTCCCATCTTAGTTGACAATCCAGGAAAATTCCAAGATATTTGGTAAAGGTTTTTTCTTGGATTGTATGCATTTTATTTAAGAATAACACATTCAACGTTTTGTACAAGGGTAAGTTATTTGAATACGATGAAAAAGGAACATAACAGGTTTTCTCCCAGTTTATAGTGAGTTTTTTGTTACTAAAAAAGTGCAACAAACTAGTAAAATCTGATTCGATAGTATCTTTAATGTCTTCCCAACTATTGCCTTCATAGAAAAGTACAGTATCATCTGCAAAACTTATTATGTAAGCAGAAGATCCGATGTTAAACAAATCATTAATATAGATGTTGAACAACAGAGGCCCAAGAACAGTACCCTGAGGAACCCCGTACCCAATGCTTTCAAAATCACTAACCTCTCTGTCAACCTCAACACTTTGCTTCCTATCAGACAAATAACTTTCAAAAAGACTTAATAGACGAACAATGGACTTTGAGGAGGAAGCGCTTGCTGCTGATGAGGGTTTTGCAAAAAAAGTGAATGAGCAAAAACATGAAATATCTAAAGCAAATAGAGAGATTGTTGAGTTGATAAAAAAAAAATGGCATACTGACAAAAGATATTAAGGAGCTAGAAATTAATCTTAAAAAGCAAACCCAGAAATTGTCTGAACTTGATAAGCTTAAAGTTAATATGATGACAAGTAAAGATACTTTTCAAAAGAAAATGATCTGTATGCAAAAGATCTTAAAAAAGCCAACCGAGACCTTCTGGAACTGCGAGGAAAACAACACATAGCCAAGAAAGGTGTACAGGTAC